GGGCTCTGCCCCGGCGGGAACAAAGGGCTGGGAGGCCTTTGTCGCTCCGCAGGGAGGTGTCCTGGGGGAACCTGCGCGTTCCCGGGCGCCGCGGAGCCGCCGGACCCGGGCTCGGCTCCCGCCGCCGCGGGGGCCGTCGCTGAGGGCTGCCCTTTTGCCTCGTGTCGTTCCGTTGGTATTCGGGCGATTTGTTAATCACCGCAGTTGTTAATCTGTGCTGCTTGTGTTCTGTGGAGTCTGATGCTGCCTGATAAGAGCGCTCGCTCCTTTACTTGGCAATTTGGCTGGCATGAGAGCCCTTAGATTCACTTCTCCGGAGAGTCTTTTTCCTCCTTAAATGTCTTTGCCTGAGAAGCTTCACTCTGGCTTCTGGCTGAGCACATCAGTATCTCTGCAAACTTGCACCATGACTGGGGGCAAACGAGAGGCGTAGCGCCAGCTTCCTGCTCTCCCCACAGGATCCCAAGCATCTCCAGCAAACATTGGCTTTCTTTGGGCAACCTCCTCTCAAAAGGGACAAATGCAACTTTACGGATTTGGGCACCTGTTTGCAAAGAAGCTCAGTTGCAGGCAGGTGCTGCAATGTTTGATGTCACCTGTGGTCATTCTAGCTCTGCTGGTCTGTGATGACTGTGTTATTGCAGCCCCACGCTTGGTACTTTGATCGCTTGCAAAGGGAATCAGCCAGGGTTTGTGCAGCCCCACTCTGGCCATGCCTATGTGCACACCTCTGTGTCCTTGTGTGTCCGTGTCCTCACACCTCCATGACCATGTCCTCATGCCTCCATGTCCTCGAGTGTCCGTGTCCTCAAGTGTCTGTGTCCTCACGTGGGAGGGCACGCACCGCTCTCAGTCCATCTTTTCTACATGCCTGCATAACGTGTATGCCTTAGTTCAGTCTCTGTTGGGACTAGCAAGAGTTTTATTGCGTTTTGAAAAAAWTAAATATGTACAAAGACATTAGCCTGAAAGCAACTTAGTATGGCYGTTTATAAATTGCCTGCAGACTTGTTGCTGTCATGACAAGTTGGTTGYTTTTATCCCTTAGGAGGACTAGGTGAAACCATGCTTAGCCTAGCTGGTTACGGCTACCATGATTGCCTAGTAAACGTTTTCTGGAATCATAATAATAGCAATATTTCATTTTTTTCCCCAGCTAAGCTTTTTTATTTCCCACTCTACCAGGAAGAGCCCAGGGTTCTGCTCATCTGACTGGGAGGAAGATGGTAGATGCGTGTGATGAATCTCACAAAGCACTTCAGGCAAACCTTCGAGTCTGGTACTTATTCATGTATTTCTGATTTAATTTGCTCCCCCAGGTGCGTGTTAACTTGTCTCCTGCAGGTGGGTGGGCCTGCCAGATCTTCCAGGGAACTTGGCCTTTGCTTTGCCTGTGTAGGGTGGCAGAGTTTGTGTTTGAGGTTGTACAACAGCATTAAGTGGGGGAACAGGGGATGCTGCACAGGGAAAAAGGTTGGAAAGCAACTTGAAATGATAAATGAAGTGGTTTTTTTTTTTTTTTAAGTAGTTTTCATAATGATTCCCCTCCAAGACAGTATTCAAGTTTAATCAAATGATGATGTACAGATAAAAATTAAATGTTCAAGATTTAATCATGATTGCTCTTCTGTCTGTAATCACATAAGGAGAATGGGCCTCAATTTGTTCTAATAATTGTAAGTTAGTTCTCAATCTGATGATGTGTGGTCTGCTAATGCTAAGGGAAATGCTAATTTTCTTAGAATTTACTAATTAGGAGCTTACTATGGCTTCTATTTACAATACCAGTAATAGTTTCACTTCAAGTAGGAGAGGCCCTTTTCCAAAGCCTGGTTTTCTCAGGGTTTGTGCCCTGTGCCTTGGTTTTTGGCTGGACCATTTGTGAGATGTCTCCCCAACACTTGAATGTCCTGAGCTCCTGTGCAGCCTCTTGCCAGGTGGGAGCACCTGCAACCCTGTGGCTTCTGCTATATCTAGGGAGCAAATTCAGAAGTTGCYGAGGAGAGCAAAGACATGGACAGAAAGATCCTTTTGGACATCATACTTAAAGTAGCAAAAATAATTAAAAGTGTGTCTAAAATGAAGCTTCATTATGTTTTAAGGAYGGACTGTAATGTCGATTTTATAAAAAGAAGAAATAAGGGTTTATTACTCTCACATAACTAAGATCCTCTTAAAAACATGACAAACATGAGACGTTCTTAGTGCATTTGGTTTCCTTGAAAAGAAAAGGAGCTGTAGGAAGGTGGTTTCTAGAATGAGTTTTGGTTTGTGAACAGTTTCACAGGGCTGGCTGTATTTTCCTCTCATAATATTCAGTATCCCAAATACAAAACTGTTGATAAAGCAAGAAATAATAATTTATGTGTATGAACCAGATAATCCAAAACATTTTTTTAATAGGATCCTCAGATTACAGTGTCAAATTATGAAAATATTAGAAAATACTCAATTCAGCATTGTGCATATGCTAGTGATAAAGGTAAACTTAGACTTCAGCTTCTTTCACCTAGCAGCCTCTCTAAAAGCATCCTTCCTTTAGTCCACCTTTAGTTCATTCTTAGCAATGATTCTCATTTTGCATGGATTAGATGAGGGTGCAGATTGGCAAAAGACTAATTTCCAATGAATGGTTCTTATAAACAGATGAAGGTATCTGGTTGCGGGGTTGTACATGAAAAAAATGCAGGAGTCCTCCAGCATTTGGAAAACGTTTCATACCAAGCATCTACAATTCAGCTGGGGAATCGGCCTGTTTTAAATCTATAGCCCAGCTCGCCCCTTAGCCCCTTGCTGTGGTCAGAAAAGCCACATGCCTTTGGTTAAGAGTGGCTCATAGAGAGTGCGGTCAGCAGAGAGAGGAGAAGGGCTGAGCGTTTCCAGCTTTCCGTGGGACTGAGTTAAAATACTRTTGACAAGTGAACACCTGACTCTGTTGCAGCCTATTGCCACAGATACCCCTAAGTGAAATCCCTCTGGTGTTYCCTCCTGACCTGCTCAGAGGCAAGCAAGCAATCTGGATGTGAAAGAGGAGAGTAAGTATTGACTTGAGGCAATGCGGAGGAGAGCTAAATGCATTCCCCCAGGAAATAAATACAGGTATAAAGCAGAAGAATGTAACCAAACAGCCAGAGACTATGCGATTGGGCTGAAACTATTTGCTGAATATCTCTCTAACAGTTCCTTGGTATTGGTTTTCACACAATCAGGTATGCTGGGGCCAATAGATCAACCACTGGAATCAATGGGAGAATTTATGCCGGTGGCTTAGTGGGCACTGAGTGACATCAAATAGCACCAGACTGGGTTTAAATCAGGATTAAAAGGCAAGGAAGCAAGACTTCACACAAAGGAGTTCTCCATGTTGAAAAGAGGGCGCAAGACAAGTGCCGTAATGAGTCAACATTTTTCAGATAGAAGTCAGTGCTCTTGTAAAATAATTTTATTCATTAAATTCATTCTTTTCAAAAAACACAGGCAGCAGAAATTTGAGATCCTGCCAAGTCTGAGTCAAAATCAATTTGGGTTCATGCTTATATGGAAGAGAATAGGCTTTTTGTATGTAATTACATATAAGCTCTATAGGGTGACCCTGCATTATACAGGATGTAACTGAACAGCCTGTAATTGATGAGGTTTCCATTACCACATAACACTATGCACAGGAATGAGATCATAAAAGGACCTTTTCAAAAGTGTTAAGTATTTTCTTGTACAACAAGCTAAATTCTATTACAAGGCAATGAGAAACTTGACTTCCTGGAACCGTTTAGTAGTATGTGTGTGCCTGTAATTGGCTTATACAGACATGCATGAAATAATCCCATTTAAAATAGAAAGGTAAATTGAATCATGCAGAACTAGTGCATACTTTTCGTTTAATATGCTGAGTGAAAAAAATATTATTTCTTTTGAGATAATTTTAACCTAGCCAAAAAAGCTATGTATTATTTTAAAAGTATCATAGCCCAGAAAAAAAAGAGCATTTGAAAAACTGAATGAAACATGAAGATAAAACTATTTCTCAAATGGAATTAAAACAGGAAAAAATACACTTATTAGAAATTATACAGAAAGAGAATATAGAGTGATGTCTGAAAAGAAAAAAAAAATAAAAAAATAATCCCCAAACAACCCTGAATATCAAATAGAGTTTTTAGTAGAGTTTTTAAGTGCTTTACAGCCTACTCAACTATAAAGTCACACTTGGAAAAGAGTGTGCAAATGCAGCTGCATTCAATAAGGGCCCTAATTTTATACAAGTGTATGCTCTTCCATATACGCCTGTCTCCCTGCTGTGCCGTCTGCCCAGGTGATGTAGATCCCGYGTGAGTGCCAGCAGCAGCCTCCAAGCGCACCTTCACCTTCCTCCCCAGGCGGGCCGCCCTGCGGCCCTCGCGCGGGCAGCGGCGCGAGCYGCGCAGCGCGAGCAGGCAGGACGGCCAAGGACAGCGCCAGGGCTGCTGACGCGACCTGCGGCTACGGCAGGGAGCGCGTGTGCTCGGGAAACATCCTCACACCGTGAGGACGAGCTCCGCCACACGCATCGCGTGTGCAGCAGCGTGTGCTCGGGAAAGATTCTCACGCCGTGAGGACGAGCTCCGCCGCACGGCATCGCGTGTGCAGCAGTGTGTGCTTGGGCCTTGTTTCCTCACACCATGAGGACAAGCTCCTCTGCGTGCTGCACACGCTGGTGCAGCAGGCTGTGTCTGCGTGAGGGTGAGCTTGCGTGGGCAATCTATAAATAAGCGTGTTTAAAAAGGCGGGAATATGCGGAGGGCGGATGTTGTGAAGAACCAGAGTGGGAAATGGCACAGTTTAAGCAAATAGTCTTACCAAATATTTGCTAAGAAATGGGATGTTAAGTCATTTCCTAGCATGACTACCTAGTGTGTATGTGAATTTTTGGTATTTAGGTAAGTGATTCTGTCCTTTAGAGAAAAGTCTGTAAGTGATTTACCCTCTGCTTGTGCTGGAGACAAATGCAGCTCCAAAAGAAAAAGATCAATGGTCAAGATACACCTTTCTTAAAATATTCAACATTTGTTATAAAGTTTAACATCTTGGTTTAGATCTAAGACAGATAAGCTGAAAAAAAAAACAAGGAAAGGAAAGGAAAGGAAAGGAAAGGAAAGGAAAGGAAAGGAAAGGAAAGGAAAGGAAAGGAAAGGAAAGGAAAGGAAAGGAAAGGAAAGGANGGAAAGGAAAGGAAAGGAAAGGAAAGGAAAGGAAAGGAAAGGAAAGGAAAGGAAAGGAAAGGAAAGGAAAGGAAAGGAAAGGAAAGGAAAGGAAAACTCCTGATGTCTTCAGTGTCCTAAGACATAGGTTTTGGACTCTTTTTCATGTAGAAAGTGGCCCTTACAAATCAGTGTTAGGTTAGCTTGCCTCACAACAGGATGTAGCCTTATTCATGCAAAACATCCACTGTCAATGAGGACAACTGGCTCACTTGGCCAAGGTGTATGACCTTCTGCAGTTTCCTCTGGCATTCATGGTGTAGAAGGTTTCCTGGGATAAACAATGGTTTATAAATGTAGTTGTTTAAGTAATTCCATATCCTACAAGTAGTCCAGGTAGTCTTATTCCAGTTATTTCTGTCTGCAATCATAGCAGGTGTCTTCCCTTTGTTCGGAGTTCATATTTTGAAAACATTCCTTAATAATGAGTGTGATGTTGAGTGTTTATGACCATGCCCTGTTTGCCTTGTTCTTTATGTATCTCATTGAAAGCAGCGTGTGTCTCACGTAGGAGAAACTGCACGATATGGGCTCATGCTAGTGAGCTGGGCCCCKTGCAGTTAGAACAGCAGCGGCCTCRTGCAGGCTGCCATAGGCATTTGCCCTTCATTGCCACACAGTGATAATGTAAGGGCAACATGGAATTACTCATTCCAGCTTATTATTTTTGTATTCTAGTCTTCTTGGCTGAGATCATGATTATTCAGCTAAGAATTAACACAATGAAAATTAAACCTATTGGATTATGAACATTTGTGGATTTTTATATTCATTGACACAAAAGATACACAGACGCATCAGCTCAGCCCATTGTTTACTTATGAGAATAAAGCACACATTACATTACTGTGCACACTACCTTTTGTAGATTAGACTTCTAAAAGAGTGTTATTTTTAATGTTCCTTAGTATATTCTCTTAGTGTGTAACTAAATCCTACTAGACTGATTCCCTAAATTTCATTAATTAAAGTGTTGGTAAGTGTGATAGTTTGGAGCTCTGTTTGGAGCTCTCTACAAGGTAGAGTTGCAATCTGGATTGTGAGTAATCCATGTTTGTTCTTTTATTTATTTATTTTTTCTATATACATAGGTTCTTCTGAAGTGAATTTCTCAGACTCAAAAAAAGTAAAAAGCAGCAAAACAACTCTGGAAAACATGTAAGTAAATKAAACACTGGAAAAGGACTTAAACAACAAATTCATGAATTTGTTTTTAAATGTTCCACACAAGTAATATGCTGACACAATATACTCGATCACAATCACATATGGAGGTATCCAGGAAAACATCAAATTATATTGAAAACAAATGTAAAATGGAAAAGTGCTGATATATGAGGTATTGGATAAGGATGGGTTTTATGGAGCGCGTACTTTAGACACGTAAGATTTTCAGTATTCAAAGCTACTATGTATAGTAATAATCTGTAGGGAAGGTTTATCTATTAACTTTTATTGCAACTTAGTTAAGAAAAAAAACTGAAAAAAAGTAATGGTAGTATATTCACATAAAATTGGCCTAAATACGTCATTTTAAACAGGAAAATGTATAGGATTGCTCTGTAATCATGACACCTTTTTTTTGCCAGTAGGGTAAACCTGGCAGTATAATTTTAATGTCTTGTGTGAGGAACAGAGGGAGAAAGCAGAATAACAACTTGATAATAAGAAGAACATGGAATGTTTTCTCATCTCAGTACTGATGGAGTTAAGTGCGAGTCAGTGAACGCAGATGTATAGAAATATGCTTCTTTGTTATTCAAAGCATAACAAGTTCACATTTCTTTAACACTTTGAATTATAATAACAAAGCCAGCAGATGTCATATAATTAGGTTCAACACCCCCCCCCACCCCGAGGGGAATGGATCAAATTCTGCTCAGTGTTGAGTTCAACAAAGATCTTAATTGAAGTTCCTGTAGTTACTTGAGATTTGCTCCTGCCTCACAGAAGGCTGATTTTGGRGTAGTATTTTTAAATCGAGAATGCAATAAATACAGGTCTAGATGTAATACAAACATCTATCCAGTTACAACACAAATCTGCACCCGTATCTTCTTCATGTTCCACTTTTTGAGGCATGCGTACAGATATTTCAGTTAAAATGATAGATATATATTAATACAACTTCTGAGCATGGTGGGGAGTCAGTAATRCTTGATCTCCAACTGACATGCGATTTGGGTATTCAGTGAGCTGTTTTAGCTAAGATTTTCTCACCAATTTAAAAGAAAGGTTGTGAATTAATTGTCACAATTCACTAAATTTGTCAAAAGAAATAATGTTTTAATCTATTTATTAAAATAGAGATAACTGATGATAACCTATGTGGATGACTACAGTGGATAAGGTAGCATCTCTCCACAATCACCTATGTCTAGGGTTAAAGTCTTTATAGTGAGGTGTGCCCAGGTATCAGTCAGTACATTTGCCACTGAAATACAACATAGTACTGTGATGAAGGAGAGTTGGGGCACATGATGATACCTTTATTCATATTTAATAGTCCTGCACTCTATTCTTAGTAAATCATCCCAGTGATGGGGCATGAAAACTCCAAGATGGAGCTTTCTTTCTGTCACACAAGAAGATCAGAAAAAAAAGGTTTATCTGATTACCACATGAGCAAAATAATATTTTAGCATGAAGTGCTTCAGTGGCACAGTGATAAACCTACATATAGTTGATATTAAAAGAGCAGTCAGTAGAAACTGCTAGCTGAAAAATCCCTGTAGTCTTGTGCAGGAAGGCAAAAAGTCTGTTCCACTGTGCTAATTTCAGCATAACTTATTTTTCATTCTAGTTACAGTGCTAAAAATGAAACRAGGGCTTTTATTTATTTATTACACTTAAATAATATTTATTATACTATTTATCTGTTTTAAAAAAATAGTATCAGTTATTTTAAGGGAAACAATTTCAGAGGATCAGAGGTAAACTCAATTTAACAAAGTCATCAGCTGTAAAAAAAGGAAAAAAAAAAAAGGCACCGAGATGGATGAACTAAATAATGTTTGTACTTCACACAGCATTAGGAAGGCTTCATCTGCAGCTGAATGCCTAGTTTGGGGAACTGCCACTCAAGAAGGATTTGAGTCAATTAAACGTGATTCCAGGAAAGARAAGGATCAAATCTTAGTCTACAGAGCAATGGAGTGAGAAGAAATGTGGCAGGGATTTTTCAGAGCATAAAGGAGTGCTGCACAGAGGATACAAGTAAACTTCTGCATGTTGTGGTGAGCTATATGAAATGTATTTCTTTTGCTGTCCATATCAGGTAATGATTGTAAATTGCAGCAAGTGCAATTTACAAATTGTAAATTGCAAAAATAAATATTTAGACTGGRCACTAGGAAAACTAAATATAAGAACCCAGAAACTCTGGTGTGGTCTCCCTGGGAAGGTCGATGCATTTCCAGCACTACGTGTTCGTAGGTTTGACAAACATGTCAGGGACGGTATCAGTACCACAAACCTTGGCTTTGAATATGAGAACAGATTAGAAGAGGCTCTAGAGTTTCCTGACAATTCTGTTTTTGGTGATTCCATGATAAGGTGCAAAGCCACAGAAAAAAATTATGATGTAAATAAAATACTCCCATATCAGTGATCAAAACSAGAACCATAGAATGGATTATGGCATAGTATATACATATGTATATCTCTTTCTCACTCCAGACTGGCTGAATTTGGCTGTATTTTTACCCTAACAGAAAATAACTGACCCAAGATTAAATGTAAGGCTCAGACTGCCCAAACCACAGCAAACACTGAGAAGAAAGGGGAGGAATATTTGCAAAAATACTTTTTATTTTGAAGCAGTGTATACATATAGCATAACATCTTTCATAACCATTAGTGTTTGTTAAGATTAGCTCATCTTAGCAACCAGTTCTAAAAACAGAGCACAGGCTCACACAGCCCTCTTCATCATATCACATCCCGGAGGAAGTGATTTTGTTACTTTGTACAGGGACTTCTACTGTATTCATTACAGCCCTCAGGACCAAAGACATGTACAGTAGCTCGAGATAGCATTTCTTTTTCCGTAACATTTCTGCAGATAGGACACTATAAGTAATAATGTACATCCTAAGGAGATAGTAAATCATCTATTGGTRTTTTGAATTTTGAACATCTAAAAGCCCCATGAAGTTGATGATGAAAGTAAAAGAAATGTCAGTAAGTGAAAATACTGCCTTCCTTCCACATTATTRTACATTACTCCATTTCCTTGTCTTCATCTGCCTTTCTCAGTTTTAGTTTTGACCTTCTTATTTTGTTGAAAGATATATTATATTTTAAACAGAGTAACAGTTTGTATCCCAAAACTGTGGGATGGTGTTTGGCACTAAGATACAAGTGAAGGAACACATATGCTTTGTATGTTAGAGAACTAAATGTCACTTTTCCAGCTCTTCCTTTCAACATGTTTAGGTCTGACAACTACAGAAAGATCGATCTATTTCAGGAAAGTAAACATTAACATTAATTAGATGTGCTGACATAATTTAAAAAATATTTTTCTTAAGTTTGCCTTACTGAAGAAGTTCTTACTAAGAAATCAAGTTTATGACATGTGACTCTTGAATCAAGACTGTACCCTTGTTTTAATACAAATAGCTGATGGAATAAAAATCAGCATATGATATAAATTATACTATTATATATTATTATAATTATATTATTAAGGACAGTCAGTAGAAAGTGAGAGGGGGAAAGGGAAGAGAGACCACAAATCAGAGAAGAAATACCTTTTTTTTTTTTTTTTCCAAAACTACCTAAATCTAGAACTCTGTAAGCTCTGTAAACTGTTGGAAAAGTGGAAGCAGAACACAAAGGTCAAGGTAGAAATAACAACATTGCGAAAGAAAATGCTTTAAGTTGCAGTTGGCCATAATGGACTTAGTAGGGAGGGAAGTGTTGAAGAGGTGTTGTTCTGCCCCCCAAACACAATGACAGGGGAACTGTTAGRTGTAAGAGCATGACAAAATCTCTAATAGGAAACATTTTAGAGAATAAATCTTGCTGGAAAGACCTCGTGGAGGATTTCACATGATTGCTCACGGGCAGGAAGTGATGAAACGCATACTAAAATGGTTGARTGAAAATTAACATCTATATTTGAAAAAAAAGCAGAGACAAGTTTTCTGCTCAGTGACTCCTAAGAAACCTGCAGACCAGATTTCCATCAGTGGGAGGTGCTACTGATCAGAATCGGTTTGTCTGGATGTCAGTTAGCTCCTTTCCCCTGGCATGTTGGGCAGCACACAAGAAGTCGGAGCTAAGAGATTTGCAGTGCACCCACAGCCAAGAAAGCTCTATGTGTGTTGGTATGGAAAATGGCCCCAATCACAATGATGTTATCAAGCCATGATTTTAGTGCTACTATTATTAAAGGAAATTTTATTATTAACCACTTCTGTTATTTTTCCCTAAGACATTTTTCTTGATTGCTTTTCAGCCTGCCTGCAGCTGTGCTGCACCCTCCTGCATTTGAAGCAATCACGTTCAGCTGGGAAAACTGATGCGTCACCGCTGTTCRGACACTGCTGGCTCAGGTTAGACTAGAGAACCATTGCATTTCTTCCGAAATTATTATCGTTATTGCAATGAAATGCTGGTATTTGCCCTTGTGAGGACGTTACTGAGAAACAGGCAGCCTGGCAGCGCTTCCCTGGGGGAAATACCGAGCCAGTCACCTAGCGGGAACTTGTCTGCGAACACTTGTGGGGACCAAATATCCCCCGAGACGGACTGGGGGCAGGCGAGCGGCGCCACACATCAGGCACATCCCCTTCTGGCGGAGGTTGCTTTGGGAGCTCCCCGCACGCCTCCGCCTCCCGCCCGGCCCGCCCGGGCTCGCAGCCGTTACCGGCAAACATGGCCGCGCCGCCCCCCCCCCTCCCCTGGCGGCGCCGGCGCCTCGCGCGGGGCGGCGGAAGTGACGCGCGGCGGGGCGGCGGAAGGGCGCGGGGCGGCGGGCCATGAACAGCCGCCTGCAGGAGATCCGCGAGCGGCAGAAGCTGCGGCGGCAGCTCCTGGCGCAGCAGGTGGGCGCGGGATGGGGATGGGGAGGCGCGCGGGGCGCGGCCCGGCCCGGCCCTCCTCCCGCCGCGCGGGGCGGCGGGCGCGCGCGCTCGCTCGCTCGCCCGGCCGTTAACGGCAGCGGCGCGGCCGTTGGAGGGGGCGGGGCGCGGCCGTTGCCCGCTGAGGGGATCCCATGGGCGCCGCCGCCAGGTGCGGGCGGGAGGGGACGGTTACGGGGCCGCAGCAGCGACGCTTTGGGAGGCGGAAGGCCTTGCTTTTGCTCCAACGGCTTGCGGTCTTGGTGGGACTTCATTCGCTTTCCCTTCAGTTAGGAGCTGAAAACGCGGACAGTATCGGTGCTGTGCTGAACAGCAAGGATGACCAGCGGGAAATTGCTGAAGCAAGAGAAACCTGCAGGTGTGTGATGGCATGTGCTCCCTGTTAGAAGTTAGCTTTTACTGCTAATTGTAAAAGCCTTTAAAAGAGGGAGATCGTGAGTTTGCTTTTCCAAAGTAAAATTGTACAGTTTATATTGAAAACTTGCTATTTCATAAAAGGAAGTGTTTTAGTTGCTCAGATCTGAACTTAAGATGACTCAATATCAGCAGGGACTTCAGTAACTTGTAAGAACAGGTTGGAATTATGAGGCTTGGAAATCAAGGCCAGTTTTTGTCTCCTTCCTTAAAAAAATAATAATCAGAAATTTTGGAAGCATTCTGCCTTCTCTCTAGAGAGAGAATCTGCTTTATATTAAATTTTTTTTTTGTGTGCTGTTTATAGGGCTGCTTATGATACATCTGCACCAAATGCAAAACGCAAATATCCGGATGAGGGAGAAGCCGATGAAGAAGACCTTGAAGAATATAAGGTAAGAAAAAATGGAAGATGTTTGACTTTGTTTCTCTTAGTGCTCATATGACACTGAGGGATATACCTTAAAGCATCTGAATTATGAAAAAATACATAGGCATGCACACACACCTGTATGTGACATATATGTACATGTCCATGTCTACATATGGATAGTTGAAATTCTTCTTTGATGTCTTCCCCTGCAAAAATCTGAGAGCGCTGGAGGGAACTCCTGATGACTGTGTTTGTATGTGGCTTAGGTGCTGGAATTTGGTGTTCACCAGAACSTGGTATTTGTAGCCTGGTTTAGCTGCAGTTCCTTGAAGAAAGTAGGTTAAAACACTAGGCCCAGAGGGCAGGTTGGTGTTTGCTGTTGCTGCTTCTCATGCAGGGAATGCAGTGGCTAAAATGTCTTTCGTGCTTGAGGGTACAAAAAATATGTTGATGGAAGTTTCTTCATCTCAGAAGAAAAGTTTAGATTTGCAAAGCTACAGGATGAGGAATGGCAAAGCTGAGGATATTTTCTAATTTCCCTGTAAGTGCAAGGATGCACTTCTTGTCAAAATATGTGACTCCTTTCTTCAACAGGAGTCAATAGTTTCTCCATTAACTCTCTCCTAGGCAAGAGGTCAGATACTTGTTTCTTTTTCTCTCCAAAGCTGGAGTTGGAAGTGTCACAATCTGCTCTTTCAGGAGAGCTGTATTCATAGACATCTTATTACTTCATTAAGAAACAGAGTAGTAGTGAGGAGACAAAGAGCATGATCCTACTACCTGCAAAATCTGTTTTATTTTCAAGGATGAGGTAGAACTGCAGCAGGATGAAGAGAACCTACCCTATGAAGAAGAGATTTACAAAGATTCAAGTACCTTTCTTAAGGTAATCTATTCGCTATTCCTGCAGAGATGCTTATAAACACATGTTATGGAGGGCGAGGGCTGAGACGAACACAGGTGATGTGTATTCAGATACTCTACCTTTGCTCTCACTCACATGCCCTTGTTCCCTAGGGCACTCAGAGCTTAAATCCGCACAATGATTACTGCCAGCACTTCGTGGATACAGGACACAGACCCCAGAACTTCATCAGAGATGTGGGTATGTCATAGTAATTGAAAATATCTTATTTTATGCAGTTTTACTGTTTTTCTTCCCCTCTGTACTTCCTCCCACTAGCTGGAGTCAGCACTGCAGTGTCTCATGCAGGTGCATTTCACAGTTCGTGTGTGCAGAGCTTGTGAAGGAAATACTGATGTGGAAATGAATCTGTCTGCAGCAGTTAATTTAGCCTGCTATTAGAGATGAGGTACATGAAGCTGCCTACTGGCTAGCGGAATTGTAAAGTGTATGTGGAGATCATGGAAAAGTAGGTGCTGATGTGTAATTGAGTAGATATTGGCAAGAAGCTGCTTGCAGCAGAACAGGTTAGAATTATGAACCGAAATAAAAATTTTGTAACATTAGCCATAGTTAACCAGCTGGAGACAAGAGGCTTTTGTAAACTCTTGATCAAAAAATGAAAGGGAAAAAAAACCTCTGCTTTGAAGGGCTCTAACAAAAATGAAAGGAGGCTGAGTATTAACATCTGGGCCTATTCAGAATGCTGGAGAATGCTTAACTGGTATGAACTTACTCTCTAAGCGTTTATTAACTTTATGTTTTCTGCTCCTTAGGCTTAGCAGATAGGTTTGAAGAATATCCAAAACTTAGAGAGCTCATCAGACTGAAGGATGAGCTGATATCTAAATCTAACACTCCTCCCATGTAAGTGTTCTTGTGGAAATCCCTGTTTCCTCCAGATTGCTTTGTAATTAGCTATGTGCTTTACAAGCCTTTTTTTCTTTAGCACCTGTTCAGAATTTACATTTTCTATTTCTGCTTGTATATACAAGTTACGTAATTGAACCTTCAGAAGAATCAAATCTATTTGTTTTGGCTAGCTTAATCTAGATGTTTAATATAGTATACAAACTAGATCTTCTTTCCAGTGTATGGTTATTTATATTATGTGAAGATTTCTTTTTTTAAAAGAGTTGTCAGCTGACTGAGCTACAAGGCTTTAATCTGGGAATCAAAAGAAATATGCCACATGATGATGAATCCTTGGTATCCTGCAGTTTACGATAATAAGCCCCTAAAAAGTCTGTTAATATAACCGGGAATTGTTCTCGCGGAAAGCACTTTGTATAATGTTCAGCTGTTGTTTTAGCAGCCATTAGCTCAATGTTACTACTTGGTTTAAGACTGAAGAAACAGTTGAGGCTGAAGCAATGTATCCTCTTATTCTAATTTTCTGTGGAATGTTAAATGCAGTATAATCATGCGGCATGTTTCTGAACCCAATATACTGCTGTTTTAGTTGGTACTCAGAAAAGTAGAATTATTCTGTAATCACATGAAAACCCTTGAGGAAATTGTGTGAACAATTGAGGAATAAAGTGCGAAACTCAACTTGCTATTTTGAAGTTAGGTTACTTGTGTAGAGTGTAGGTGTTATGGTTTTTTTAATAAAGTAACTTATCTTTTGTTTAAAAAGGTACTTACAAGCAGACTTGGAAGCTTTTGATATTAGAGAACTGAAGTCCAAATTTGATGTGATTCTTTTGGAACCACCATTGGAGGAATACTATCGAGAGACTGGCATTACTGCCAATGAGAAATGCTGGACCTGGGATGATGTAAGTAATGTAATTGTTTGTTACTGTGAAAAAATTCATACATATACCTGCATAACTAGCTTACAGGCTTAATTCAGTAGCAAAATCTTTTATAGGAAATGTTTGAGGAAAAAGTGGATTATACAGAAACAAAGCTCTTGCAGATGGAAACTTAGTTTGTATCTTGTGCCTGCACCATTTGTGATGAGAGTGGTTTGTTTGTTTTTAAGCTTTATTGAATTAAGGTATACCCTTTTGCTCTCCCTGAGCCTGACTGGGGACAGGATGAAAATTTACTATTAATCCAAGGTCTATGGGGTTTTTTATTTATTTATTTTTTGGAATATTCATTGCATTTTTTTTAAATTTTTGAAGAGACTTCCAAGAGATGCTTCCTAGTACTGTGATTTTTAATTAGAAGAGCTCTTTTTAGGGGCTATATCTGATCAGTATGCAGGATTAGCAGCCATTTGGTAATAATAGGAGTGAATCACTGGACTGAAGCAGTAGATACAGAGACTTACCTCATCTCTATTCCATGTAGTTGGGGACAAGGGGTACTTTAATGTGTCTTTAGTTTGTCCTCTTGGCTGAAACTTGTAGGTGCATAGCCCCAGAAGTGGCTGAGCCAAAGAAGAGTATCATAAAAACAAGTAAAGCTTAGTCCATTTTAAAGATCTGAAGACAAAACATTCATGCCTCTGACAATTAAGTAACCTTCCTGTTAGGGATAGATGGGAATCTGTAGGTAAGTTTTAAGGGTTTTATATTAGTCTCACTGTGTTACCTGAGGCCAAAGCAGCACTTGTCAGTGTTGTCTGGATGACAAGAATGAAAAAATAAAATAAATAAAAAATCTGTCCTAACAGGAAAGTTTGGGGGTGTTTTAGTCAGGAGTCTTCAGCCTCAGTGTTCTATGCTCTCTTAGAATGGCATCCCCTGTGTTACTTTTCTTCACAGGGGCACTGAATGAAGCTTGATTGGATGTGTTAAGTTACAGATGAATCCCTTTAACTCATAATGACTAACAGATGGTTTGCATCTGAAGTTGTTATGCCCTGAATGCTACTCATTTGTCATTGTTGAAGCCCTCTCTTAATATGTTCTTACGGTTTTTTTCCCCAAAGAGAAAACGGAAAGACTTTTTTCTTACACAGTAATGGGAATTATAGTAATGGCTTGTATGTGCATCTTACCCAACTTCAGATAGATAACTTCAGAGTGAAAAAGAACATTATTGCTTCATTACATTTTTTGTAATTACTGAGGAAATGACAAAATGAAGCACAGCCTTATGGAAAAATACAGCATATATCTGTCTTTAGAATATTCCAAAGAGATGCACTCTATGTTAAAATGAATGATCAGATTGGTCGTCAGCCGTGCTGAAACGATGCTTGGGTATTGATGAGAACTTTTACAATATACTGGCTGGTAACCAGATTTGAAGATAAGATCTTGAAGAGTGGTATCTAGCATAGGAACTTTAATAAATGTGTTTCTGGAAGGTTCCATTTACTTGGTGCTCTTCCTGATATAATTTGTGATTATGTCACATAAAGCAAATATTTAATTTGGAAACACTTTATTTTTTATAGATCATGAAACTGGAAATTGAAGAGATTGCAGCCCCAAGGTCATTTGTATTTCTGTGGTGTGGCTCAGGAGAGGGTCTAGACCTTGGCAGAGTGGTGAGTTCTTTTAATTTAACTAATGAGGGATAAGCTAAAGAGTTTATTTTTATCATTGACTTTCTCTGTGTGGAATTCTTCATTCATGCTGAGACATGTTTTGTAACTGTGCTGAAAGCTATGTAATTTCAGTGAGTCTAACCTGGCATTTACTGTTTAGATACTGTTGTTTTCTAGATGAGCTGCTGTGACTGTTCGAGGAAGCATTGCTCTGTAGTGTCTGGAAACTCGTGCTGCTGTCTTACTGTCCTGTAAGCAGGTTGCTGTAGGGAATCAAGGGCCACGTTTAGTGTGATTAACATACTTTTTTTTATTTTGAATGATGTCTTAATAGTTTTTTTTCAGAAATTGTCATCTGAATAGGAAGGTGCTGCTGTTTTATAGTGTGATAAAATTGTGCTTTATTACAGCAAGCGATCTTGGAGTTCTAAAGTGATGTGCCATATGCCATAGGTCTTTTTGTGTTGGAAGCACTGAAATAAGTGTCCAGTAGGCTCTTGTTGTGCTGAAACATTAATTTCTTACTCCAGTATTTCTTTCTTGCTCCGGTATTTTCTATGAAAATAGCAAGGTGCCATTCATTGCGGGACATGGGGTGCATAATGCATTCACTTTGTCATCTCCTTCTAATTGTGAAGTTGTTTTGCTTTTGTCATAGATGTAGCTGGGCAGTTCTTGAATATAGCAATTAATGGTCAATTTGCTTGTTTTCCAAGATACCACTACCAGAAATTAAGGATTAAAAACTAGTCATGTGTGATCTATAGAGAGCTGAGAAAAGCCACAAAATCCTTGCAAAGGCTTTTGGTTCTTTATCAACTCTCTTTTATGATTTCACTTTTATGTGAAACTGTACCAGAGTGCGGGTGCTAATGGAGATGAAGACCAAGACCTCTGGTGATCACACTGGTTAGACTGGCTCTGGTGAATTTTAAGCTCCATAGAGGAATCTGTCACTTTTTATGCATTAAAAAAAATAAAAAGCTTAGATTTGACAAATGATTGTACAGGTAAAATTGTAAACTTACATTTCATGTATCTGACAGGTTTGTTTTATGTCTTATTAAAAGTTTTAAAGGAAGTATTTTCTATTCAGTTTAGGTTTTTGTTTTCTGGTATACTATAGACTTTATTTTTTGTCTGTCCATAATATTTAGTGTCTGCGCAAATGGGGTTACAGAAGATGTGAGGACATTTGTTGGATTAAAACCAATAAAAACAATCCTGGAAAGACGAAGACTCTAGACCCTAAGGCTGTCTTCCAAAGGACCAAGGTGAAGTTTTGGCTCCACTTCTACCCTGTTCTCCTCCCCTTCTGCTAATTAAATAGCAGGTGCTCCACTGCAGTTGGTGACCTGCTTTCAGTAAAACAGACATCTGGGATTCAAAGCTCTCTTCTGCAATGTGTGTCATCATGTGTTAGAGCCGGGGGGGGAAATGCTAATCAGATAGGTGACTAAGTCCTTCCTCTTCTTGCTTTACTCATTTGATGCAGTGTAGCAGAATTGTCTACGCTTAGCACTGCTGGGAATTCTCATCTTCCAAATGTGCTCCTCACTTTAAGCCTCACTGACACAGAGCGCTGAAAAGGGGTTGCACATTGCATGCGCGCGTGTGTGTTTGTGAGGGGGGAAATTATGAGCATAATAATGGCAACTGAATAGAAAATGTAACTTTATGTTGCAACGTTTTAGACTTCCTGATTGTTTCAGTTTAGGGGGAATAGTAAATAAGCAGTTAGCCTACTAGCTATGCTCTTCTGTAGCACACAAGCATTTTTCCATAATGGAGGTGTCTACTTTTTAGAGTAGGAATGCCGCTTGATTTAAACTAAGCTTGGAATTAGATTTTGGCTAAACTTAATATAAAAAATAAATCTTTAAAACTGTTGATTAGGAGTTGACATAAAAAAGTCCAGAAGGTTGGTTGTTGGTTTTGAGTACAGGTGTGCAGGTGTTTGCACAGACCTCAAACTGGGTGGAAGACTGTGAGGGACAGCGGATCAGTCAGCGACTCCATCTTTCTGAAAATGACTGTCGTGCACCAGTGACAGAAACAGCTTGGCTTAAATTAAGTAGTTTCTTAGGGATGTGGTGTAGAGGAAATACGTACTGAAGGAGGTAGAGCAAGAAGAGAATATTCTGATTTACAGGGTATGAGTATGTTATTTGTGATTGTGGAGGAAGAAGGTAGAACGGAATAATAAAGAATTACTGGGGCTTATGTGGGTGCAACTGGCAATTAAACTGAATGCAAAGAATTGGCTGATAATAATTCAAACTTGTCAATCTCAGGACTCATTGAATGTTCATGAATTCTGTTGGATATGTGATGAGTGCTATACATCTTAGGCTCTGCCTTGGATTTGCCAGTTTTTAGAAGCTTACACTTCCCTTCAATGCTCATGTGAAAGTGGTTAAAACTTTAATATAGAAGAGCTTGGGGGAGACTTAAAACTTCATTACAAGGGAATTGTTTTGCTTTCTTGTATTAAAGAATTTTTCTGTTCACTGGAAAAAGGCTGAATGGAGTCACTGTTCATGTTGAATAGTGAACATTGTGTTAGCTTATTCTGCTTTATGTTTGTGTGGTAGTATCTAAGGTACCAGTGTGCTATAGTGCAAGGTACTCCATGTGTTACAAAGATAAAACTTCTTGGGTAGTTATAAAAACCTAACTTACTTGACTTTACCTGATGGGTAATGTGCTTAGCAGTATTCCCTGCTTTATTTAGTTAAATTTAAGATCTGAGAACCTTGCAACAGTTGATCATCTGCATATACTTGATAGGTCACCATTTTTGCCTTTCCTATTTATTCAGTAACTTTCAAAGCCTGTGTCAGCAATCTGGAAATGATCATATACTTATCTGCAAATTTCGTAGAGCCACCTGGTGATGCTGAGTAAATCAGTGTTTTATGACCTAAGGAAAATTGCTCATTTGAGCACAGTATTCCCAGAAAAAGAACTCTGAACTCAGCCCTCACTGCATCCTGTATCCATTATGGTGATTCTTCATTCACAGATATACATTAGCTGCTTCCATTGATCTATAATATCCTAGAGGGGAAAGAGGATTCTTGCACTTACAGAATGCKTTAACACTGGCAGAATTGATGCAGAGTGCATTGATACCTTGAGAGAGAGCTTAGTACTTTGGATGCTCTTGTATCTTCTAGAAAGGAATTTGAGGGTKAAGGCTACTTTTGTACAAGAGGTACGATATGAGAAAATACATATGTTAATATACATGTGTTAATAGTGTTTCTTGGTTTCATATGGGCTATTTTACAATTGAGAACTTTGAGAAGTAATAAAGCTGTGATGGGAATGTTGATACTTTGTCACCTTACACTCTGTCTTTTCTTGCGGTTTATTATCAGATTCTTCTAACTTAAATTTCTGTAACTTTGTAGTAACTGGAAGAATTCCAAATACCTTATTTCTGTTTCCAAATAATTTTTAGAGTTTTTAAGTGGAGGTCATCAAATCAGGTAACTTGAAGTACTGTCTCTTCCCTTTGTTTTTGGAAGGTTGTCTTGGTGGCTTCAGCTTGTCCAAAGTTTACACTGTTCTGCATTTAAGAGCAGGCTTTAGTCTACCTAGAGTTTTCCTTCCTCTCTGTGGTGCGCGAGCCTGCGATGAGACGCGTGACGGCTGCTGTTGTGTGTTGTGCCCGCAGGAGCACTGCCTCATGGGCATCAAGGGAACCGTGCGCCGCAGCACGGACGGGGACTTCATCCACGCCAACGTTGACATTGACCTCATCATCACCGAGGAGCCGGAAATCGGCAACATAGAGAAACCTGTGGAGATTTTTCACATCATTGAGCATTTCTGCCTCGGGCGGCGGCGTCTTCATCTCTTCGGGAGGGACAGCACAATCCGACCRGGTAGCTGTTCTCTTTATTTTGTCACAGTTAAATTTAACTTGTTTTGATTAAACTCTGAGGACACGTGATGGATTCCAGGGGAAGCCGAGACAAATGGCGCTTAMTCCTAATGTATGACTCTCCTGCTTGCACTAGCTGCAGGTATGAGCTTAACTTCAAAGGGCTAGTAAAATACTGTCAGCAAGTTTCCTCAGTGGATGAGGAGTTGCATGGGATAGAGTGTCTTTCCTGATGACTGTTCTATGGTGGAAATCTGATAGGAAGAGAAGGAATGTACAGGACAGACAGATGTCCCAGATTTCCCTATTCTTTCACTCTCTCAAACTGCCCATATCCAGCAGCAGAGGAGGATCGTGGCATCCCTGGACATTTCTCCCAGTGCCAGGACAGGATCAAAATAGCTCCTCTTGGTTAATGCCCTGCCCCCCGACCAGTAGAACAATGGTCTCTTGTGCATGTTTTAATTACTTATTTTTAGCAAAAAGTCCCCATCTTGGGATGAATTGTCAGCCATAGTTGCAGGAGCAACGTATGGAGCTGTTCTAATTGTGTGTTACAATTATGGTTGTAATTTCTGCTATTACTGTCGCAGAAGTCACAGATTCTGTTTACCGCTGTCTACTGTTAAGCTATATTTTCTAAATATTTAATTTTTAGAGGTGAATAATTGCTTAAAGGGTAAGACTTCCAGCCTTCTGTYTTCTCTATCCATCTCTATTCCATCTCTAGTTGAAGGTAACTCCTGAAATTGCTGAACAATCTAGTGGAATTAATGAAAGGCTTGGTCTATATATGACCTTTCCACTAAACTTTTATTTTTGGCCGTAACGCACTAACTCCACAGTAGTTTTCAAAACTGAAATATCTTTATCATGTATAAGACACAGTAGAGTCCTGTACTGGCTGTAGAGTTTGCACGAGTGTCTGGTGAAGGGCTTTGTGGAGAGATGCTGCAGGACAGGCAGTGACTATGGAGGAAGCCCCCGTYGCCTCTCTGTCCCCTTCCTGGGACACAGGCAGTCATGGCCTCGCTTTTGACRCTTGTGTTTTTGTTCTTTAGGCTGGCTGACGGTGGGACCCACCCTCACAAACAGCAATTTCAATGCAGAAACCTACTCCTCATACTTCACTGCTCCCAACTCCCACCTGACGGGCTGCACGGAGGAGATCGAGAGACTGCGGCCCAAGTCGCCGCCGCCCAAGTCCAAGTCTGACCGGGGAGGTGGCGCCCCGCGGGGCGGCGGGAGAGGAGGGGCGGCCGCCGGCCGCGGAGAGAGGGGCCGGGAGAGGAACAGAACGAACTTCCGCGGCGAGCGGGGTGGCTTCCGAGGGGGCCGTGGGGGCACCCACCGGGGTGGCTTCCCCACRCGCTGATGACCCTTATGGAATTGCTCTCTCCTCCCGGGCCTTGTCTCTGAACCTCTCCTTCCTGGTCCTGTTCATTTTCGGGACTCAAGCTAGGTGACTTGTAAYGTTGGTTTTGGCGCGAGTGGTTCCAAAGGTTCCAAAGGTTCTGCCTTCCCGACAGGGGCCTGGTGTGGGGGATCCTGCGCTYGGCTCGGCCTCCCAGCAGCTTCCGTTGGGCAGAAGAGAGCGCCGGCTCGCCAGCCCGCCGTTAGGCTGGGAGTGAAGAGCCTTGCTCCTCCCTTCTGAAACGCGCAAGTTGGGGGCTTTTTAACTGTAGCGTTTTCCAAAATGTGGATGGCGCTTCTGCCATTGTAGGCCCAGGTATGGCCTGCCGTGGGTTAGCATGACCCAGCGGGCACAAAATGCGGTTGGGAGTTGCATGGCAATAGCAGACTTAGTCTCTTATTCATGTGTCTATATTGACACTTATTTTAACTGCTCTTAAACCAAGGAGCAAATTGACTAAATAGAACTCTATTTTTTTTCCTTCTTTGGCCTAAATTTTCTGAATCATCCATGGGAACAACTTTTATTTTTTCCCCTCTCCCTTTGTGGTGTATTTGCCCTCACATTTCATGTTTGTAGTGGGGAGCGTAATAGTTCTGCCCAGTCACATGTTGTGCTTCATGGAAAGCAAAATCCTTTTATGCATTTATACTTGTTCCAGATGTCCAGATGTACATCTTGATTGTTTAGTGGGGATTTTCATCCAGTGTTTGTTGTTAACCTTGTTCTTTAGTAGGGAAAACCATTTTTATTGCAGAACAACCGCAATGTAAGTTATAAAAAGAGCTCAGTGGAGGCCSTGTTGGTGCTGGTAAGGTCTTGCCACGGAAGGGTCTACGGCTGGACAGCAATGGAGGCAGATTCACTTCGGTAGGCACAGTCCTGGTTTTATAAAATGACCCAGTTCTGCCTTTCTTGGCGAGTACTTGGTAGAGTGAACAAACCTGAGCCCTGAAGTCTCAAATTCTTAGGCCTACATTTCAGAGAATTGGCTTTTAAGTGTCGTAATCTTTATCGGTTGAAGCCTAGTTTTTATAAACTGTCTTGTAAAGTGGAGAATTAAACTCGTTTATCAAAGCCAATGTTGAGATATTTTTCTTAATATTTTGTGGTTTTGCTTTAACTATTCTTAAAGACAGTTGTAGTTGTAGTAGGATGTTAGAAGAGGAAAATTGCCTGTTTTCTCAATTGTAACCTTATTCATGCTGTTAGTTCAGAGGTAACTATGGGAAACACGTGGCGGCGAGGCGCACGGTAAAAGGTACGTTTGTTTTTTTCCCTCCTCCCACAACCACTAGATTCCATCTCCCTTTTAATTCCCTGCTCATGGCTGATAATGCAGTGCTGTAGCCTGACRGTGACTGGCTGGGGTTTGCAGCTGCTGTAGGGATGCAGAAGTCAATGATGCTGCTTGAGACTTCAGCAAAATGAAAATGTGAAATTCATCGTATATGTTCCTGTAAATAATCTGGCTTATTTGAATGTGCAGGGGAAGTTATGTTTTTGGGTTTTCTTGTAAGGCTGAACTAGCTAAAATAGTGTAAGAGGGGGGAAAAAAAAACCACCTCTCACCACTAGGGACAGTGTTAAAGTGAACAGTGTGYCTTTGGATGACCAACTCTCCCACCGATCCTAAAGCAAACAAACCACTTACCTGTGGGGATCGTGGCTGTGCCGGAGAGGTCCGACTGGGCGTGCACTGGAGCTGCTCGGAGCCGGGCGCCTGCACGGCTAAGAGGCTGCGGCCTGCGGCCTCCTGCCTGGGGAGACGGATGTGGCAGGGCTGCTTGTGGGGCTGGCAGCTCTGGCGAGGGCGCTGCCCACCCGAGCAGGTGCCGCTGCCTTGGCCACTGCCTTTGGGTCAGCTCTTGATGTCATTACAAAAAGCAGTGGACAAAACGTAAAGCTCGCTGCAATAAGACTAAGGCTGTAAACAAGCAATGCTGGCTGACAGGCTGAATGCCTCTATTTTTCCTGTTTTATAGGGGAGAAGGTAGGTTAAGTAGTGGATATTAGCTTGAGCAAGACAGATCCTAGTTTAATTTTGTTGATTTCTGTCCCCCCCCCCCTTTACCTTCAACATAATGATGTTGAAAGAAGTTGGGTCTGTTTTTAAATACTAATGCTGTTCTTTTGGGCGGATTCATTTATTAACGAGGCATTGTCATCTCTTTACATTGTCTTGAAACAAGAATTAAGCTGGTGTCCAGGTCAAACAAGCCTCGGTTGAAAACTCATGAGGGAAAAAAAAAAAAAAAAAAAAAAAAAAAAAAAAGATGTGGAATTAGAGGTGAAGTGCCCCTAAGTCAGGGTTGCCTTTTGGGACACTGTTCAGATGTCACAGGATACGGAGTAGGGAAGGGAGGTATCCAGAGCGCCCTCTGGAGGAAAATTAACATTTTTAAGCCTGTTCTTACATTTGAAACATCTGTGAGTCTTTGGTCTTTAACTATGGCTTTTTTTAGGGGAAAAATGGGAGATAAGGTTATCTGTTATCASTAGATATCCACTCTCTATTTAAGCCAAACTTCTAAGAGACAAGGCGCTGCAAGTACCTGTAATCACGGTAAGTGGCTTGTCTTGGGTTGTTGCAATGATGAATCTTGTGTGCTTTATTTATTTATTTATCCCCCCACCTTCCCCCCCATGCCTAACCTCAGCGGCGGGGAGGTGCTGCACCTTAAGGCTGCATCGTGCGGCTCGGCACAGCCGCCCCTCTAGCGGTGGCTGGGGAGAGGCACCTAAAGCCTTTCATTAGTTCATATATTTTATTTATCACTGAATGCATGAGCTCACAGTAGTAGATTACTGTATTCCCATCTCCATTTCTTTAATTCATTTATCTGTTAATTGTTTAGCTATTGTGTCCCAGCTTCCCTAGCCCTGCCCACCTGAAGCGGGGGGGGGGGGGGGGCGGGGAAGAGGAGGTAAAAGGAGATTTTTGGGGCTTCTGTTAGCAGCACTAGGAAATAAAACACCTGCTGCTTTGTTTGTCAGGCTTTTTTGGCTACTGAAGCTGCTCAGCTTGGTTTGTAACCACGGCTGGGACTGGGGGAAGTTGTAAATATGCTGCCAAGTGTACTGGCCTCCTGTGTGTTCCCCTGAATTGCTGCTGAGTTGCATTGCTGCTGTGTTCAGAAACACAAATTAATTTGGAAAGATTTCCTTTTTGGTTTTAAAAACTTGCAGGTGTAACCAGGGTGCTTCAAAGGCTCAGGTAAGTGGTGCACCCTCTGAAATACAAAGCAGAAGGTTCTTGGGGGCCCCCCTGCCAGTGTGGAAGGGGGTGAGGAGGGAGCTGTGCATGAGCAGGTGCTGCCAGCTCACTGCRAACACCTAGTCCCCAGTGCAGCTCTGGTTATGAGCAGCTGGCACCATTTTTGAGCATCTTGACCAACACAGGTACTTGCGGTGGTGGGTGGGTTTTTTTTTTTTTTCTCTTTTGAAATGCTTTGTCTGCCATCAACATTCCAYGGGTTCTATCAGATTATGGACCTCATCTGTCCTTCTTGAGGGGCTCTGTCCTTACTGTAATCAGGTTTGATGCTAATGAAAGCGTGAAACCAAGTGAAAACCCCGTGATGCGGCATAAGCTTCCCTTTCCTGCCGGAGAAGTTGACCTACCCTGCCCAAAGCCCTAGCCCTTACTAATTGGATACACACCAAAACCTTCTTTAGGCTGTGCAGAAATGGCAGTTATTGGTGCCAAGGCAGCTGCCCGGTCCCTGGGGGCTGCAGGTGCCATAAGCGGTGCGGAGGGGCAGCTGCACGACCCCCCCGACCCGCTCGCTGTGCTGCAGGGTGCACAGCGTCCGCCTGCAGGAGGGGTTAGYGAGTAAAAAGCCTCATTGCCCGCCCCATCCCACCCCTCCTGCCCCAAGAAACACACTTAATACACGAAGGACTCAACACTGTAGCCATGACAGGTTAGTAATTGCTCATGTCTCTGTATTTCAAGTTGCTGGTCTTTTTTTTTTTTTTTAAACAATGTAACAAGGATCAGGAATGGCAATGAATACTTTACACATTAACCTTATYCTCAGAGCCAGAGTGTGCTGTTCTTGAGCTGCACGACTCAGTCCACGTATCCTCTGTAAGGTATCCGCTTCTGCAAGTTCTTACAAATGCATGAGGATGCAGCTGTTCCAATGAATCTGCCAAACTTACCTGCTAGCAGTGATTCATACTACTCAGTGACACTGCCGCTCTTAAAAGGCACCGGTTCTTAGGGAGCTCAGCCTTTGCTGTTTGAGGGTGCATTGTGTTTTTTGCTTTCTTCAAAATGCTTGTCTTTAAACTTTTAAAAGTTTTTCAAGTTCAAATCTCATATAAAGAGATGTTGGTCCTAAAGAAATGAACACACTAAACCATGAAGTAAACAGTCCTACCTTAAATAGTATYGGAGGGTGTTTTTTCAAAGCAGTGACTCTTATAGAGAGAATCAATTATTAGAGAAAAGGTCACTGTAACAAAGCCTTGTATTCAACAAGAGACTTCCTTTTATAGCACCACAAATAACTTTTTATCAACCATCTTAAGGGGGACCTGCTGCTGGTATCTTGAAGGGCCAAAGGTGGAACTAAATAGTGACATGGGAGTATTCCAGTTAGTTAATGCACCAAAAATAAAAGCCCAAGAGGTATTTGGTTCTGAAAATGTAAATTAAATACCTAAATAATCACTGCCCTTAAGACTAATGAATTGTACCATAACACTGTGGCAATTAATTGCCAAGCTTGAAGCTAGTCTTATTCTAATTACCTTTCTATTGGTGGTCCATTATTAAATGTTYAAGTCAAGTTAGGCGCTGAGGCGGTTGGTTGGGCCTGGGCAGCCCTGTGCCAGAGCYGTCCCTGGAGATGTTCATGGTGCTTTTGTACCTTCCAGGAGAAAAGAGACKATTTCCTAATATGCCTTAGGAAGGGTTCCTAAAATGTACGTGAAGGCCCTTAAGTAATCAAACTAAACTAAATGATTACTGTAAAAAACAATCCAACTATATGCATTCTTTTTTAAAGGCAGCCCTGCTTTGTTTTTGGTTTTGTTTTTTTTTCATTCTATATAGATTTTGTTTTTTTTGGATATATTTCCTGACTATCATATATAATTTATGGCTAGCAAAAGGAATAATGAAGAAGGTTTCTAAATTCTAATTTGTAATTAGAAAATGCTCTATGCCCTAAAGCTATGACAGTTTGGAATTGAACAGTTCAACTTAGAGAAAGAGACAAGATGCTCCCAAAAGATTTAATACCTGAGTGCAGAACTTCCTATTCTACAGGTTAATAGGTAAGAAAACACAATGGTGAGAGGTTGTGTGAAATGGAACTGTACAAAAAGAGCACTGAGAAGGTTGAGTAAAGCACAGCATAGGACTGAGGTATGATGGGGCTGCTGGCTGCCCTGCAGGCACCAGTTCCTGCCTCTCTTGCAAATTAACCAAACCTAAACCAAACCAACATGGGGATACTGGAGCTTCCTTAATTGAGCAGCTGGCAGATCTCTCTGTGGACACAACACAGGAAATCCACATAAGAAGCTCCTCCATAAATACTCTTGTCTTCTACTAGGAACTGTCGGAAAAGCATCTCTGGCTGCTCCCGTTGTTTCACTATCATTAGCTAAAAAGAGAGAGAGGTATTTTTAACACACAGTCATTAAATGGCAGTCCTGCTTTCCTGTATCATCAGATATGAACACTACTGAAGGGAACCTCCCACCTCCAAAACAAAACAAACCTCGCACAGTGCAGTGGCTGTGCCTGTGGTAACTGGACAGTTTTGCGTGCATGTGTTGCATATTTTTATATTGGAGTGCGTGTGTATATATATATACACACAAAAATTATATGTGATTATATTGATATAATGTACATGTGTGTTCGTAAATCACAATTTTTGTACTCTACTAAACACACACAGGTAGGGTGTTTTCTAAGGCAGATGGCAACAGAACATTCCCCCGTTCATCTCCTGTATAACAGTTCCTGAACTGTTTATTTAGTCTTCTGCCTCTTTCCCTCCTTCCCCTCTAGCACCTACTTTGGAGGAAGATGCAGAGGAAACCCAGAGCCTTGGGACTGGCTGCCTCTGATCTCCCTCTTTGTGCCAAGATACCTAAATTGCTGGGTGAGAGCTGAGTACGTGAGAGGTGCTTGGCCCCYGTGCTGGAGTGAGGGCACGGGCCTGGGGCACAGCTGCTGCTGCCAGCCCTTTTGCTGCCAGCTGTACAAGCCAGCACTGGTGGGGTTTATTTAGCAGGTAAGAGGRAGGTGTGGCAGGACAGGAAGCTCTTACCTTCATCGTGTAGGGCTTTTGGCTCTGCATGTGCTCCATTATTGACCTCAGTTTCTTGGAATAGGGATTGTCCAGCTCAGGCAGCTGTGTCTGTTAAATAGAGTGTTGCAGAGCTGTTACATTCAGGTCTCATCTCCTAGGAATTCATACAAGACGGTGGGTTTACCATGGATTTCATTCTAAACAGGGCAAATGTGATATCCTTCACTAAAGCAGGTAAAGTAACTAATCTGCCTTTAAGCTACTGTTCACTTTAAAATGATCATTATATTAAGATTTGTTCTCAGAAGTTGTTCAGGCTACAGGAGCATCTCTAGTTATAGCTAAGTCTTTTTTTGCAGTTTGAGCAATGCACATTCAATAGTTTTTTAAAAATCTGCTACAGTAAAAATTTAGGATGTAAACATGGTTAAGATTTTATTGAAGGCTCTCTCCTCTCCTTGCACTGAGGGTAGCTGCTTCCTCAGGCTCTGTGTGTCATCTTTTGGTCCCATACCACATTTTCTGCTTTTAAAGATGAATGTAAATGTAAATGGCAGACTCATTTCTTCATACTCACGGCCTCTGTACTGATGTGTGCGAAGGACGGCACGTTGAAGAGCCCCTGGATGAGCTCGGGGGCCACGCTGACCCCCAGCCACAGGAACAKGTGGAGCCCGTTGGCCAGCAAGAAGGCGCCTCCCTCCGAGAGCCGCTCCTCGGAGCAGCGTAGTGGGGCCGGCAGCGCGTCGCTCTTCAGGTCTAGGCTGTGCTAGAGGGGGAAGCACASGGGAGTTGCCACCTTGGTAGGGCTGTGCTGAGGGAGAGCCCTCTCGGTGCTTCAGGATCACCTGAGCACCCCATCAGGGGCTGAAGCAGCAACTGTTCTAACAGTTGCTGCGGTGCTTCCTTGCCAGAAATCATTCAGCTCAGAATAAGTGATTTGTTTTAGATAACACAGGCTGTGCAACAGAAGGCTGATTACAGTGAGGACACCTGAGTTTCCTTAGCACACATACAGGCCATGTTAAAAGAAAGGGAGCTCCTACAGAAGGCTAGAACGCAGCGCCAGACACAGAGTGTGTTCCTGTTGCCTCCTCCTCTTCATTACGCTAGGAGTCCTCCCCTCCCTCCTCACTGGAGCTCAGCTAGCAGCTAAGGAGCAGCAGAACCATCATTAGAAAGTCATGTTATGGGACTAGACGGAAAAAAAGAAGCCTGCCTTTCACATCTACCCAGCCTTAAAGCTCTGCCTAACCTCACCCCGGGAGGCCAGGTTTCCAGCAGAGCTGTGCGAGTCCCGTACTTACAAGGGGCAAGAGCTGGGGGTAGAAGAAGAGCTGTGTGTCGGCTACCCCCATGGCCATGAGCAGCTGCCGCTGGAAGGCTCTCTCGTCCGTCGGGATTTCGGGCCTGCTCACGAGAACGCAGCTCTTCAAGAGGCAGTTCATGTAGACGGGCAGCACCTTCATGGAGTCAGGAAGGATGAGCTGAGGGGCACGGAAAGCGCGTGAGTCAATCGGTCCTGGGCAAAGACAGCTGGACTTTCAAACACTTAAACTACAACTTTAGAAATAAACTTTTTTGTTTTTTGATTAAAACCAAAGAAAACAATTATGTTCTGTTTTAAACCAGATGTGGCAGCTGTGACCAGCTCATCTAATTAGTAGTTACTTGGCACATAGACAATAGTCTCCTTTTTTTTTTTCTCTATGACTCTTACTTATTTTTAAGCACTAAATTAAAGCCAGGTCACAAGGGAAAAGGGGGCAGTTTTTCTTTGAACAATTTAGGRGGGAAAAGAGGGGCCTGGGCAAGTTCTCTTTGGCCTTAGTCCCAACAAATTTGTTTTCACTGAGTTTWAAAGACTCACAGCCCAGGCTTGTGTTTAGTAGCAGCACAGGACAGTATGTAAAGCCTTAACATATCAAATAGGAAGGTGAATAATGTAAAAGGAAACAACACTATAAACCCCCATAAGCAAAATCAGTTGAAATTTGAGTCATATAATGGGGAGGTGCTAATTCTAAGCTGCAAGTTACATGCAAGAAGAAGAAAGCCTTGGAAAAAAATTAATTAAAGGGAGACCAAAGGAGATAATGATCTAAACTGAATGTTGCCAAATGGCAGGAGTCCTGATTTGCTCTTGTCATTCATTCACATGCAAAGCCTCCAGCTGTAATTCAGAATGGGGGGAAAAAGCCAATCAGTCCTGATCTTCTGAGGTACTTCTTAACTTGAAAAAGCATGGAAATATTTTGAGGTGTGCTAGAAACAGAGGAAAAAAAATCAAATGCTTACAAGGTTGGAATTAAAGGCATCATTCTCTGGCTATTTGCTTGAACTAGAAATAGATTTTTGTCAGAAATGGTTGCTGGAAGGCTGTCACAGCACCTTTCTACTTAATTTAGACCCTGACACTTGTTCTGCCTATAAACAAAGTAAGCTGATAATTAACRAACTTATAATTGTTATAAATTATTCATTAATATTAACAATAATTTAATTACTTATTTTGATAAATTATTAATTAAAATAATAATTTGATGTTAATTAATTTAATATTATAAGTAATAAGCGATAATATTATTATAATTAAGAATATTACCATTTTGAGGTGAAAAAGATTATTTTTTCAAGTGGCAGGATATAAAAGTGTTCACATTAATAAAGCTTCTTACTACCCTTTAGTAAATAGGATTTAACAGACTGCCTTAATTGGGAACTACCTTAAATTTTTTCTTTTCCCTAGGAGCTGGGGGCCCTGGTAGGCATCAGGTTTTTTTTTTTTTTTTTTTTGCACTCCAGCATACCTGAGCAGCGTATGTGCAAATTCATATTGTACTAGCAGCAAGATGTTATTTTCATCTTTTGAGAAAAAACATTATTTGTTGAAAATTAGCATACTAAAAAAGAGGGCATAGAAAAAGAATGAAAACTTTGGTAAATCAGTCCATCAGTCCAGCAAGCAGAAAAGGGCCGGGCGGGGGGGTCAGTGTTGCAGAACAGCAGCGGCGCGGTTGCAGTTGCCCCCATTCAACGCAAGCTGCCTTGGTGGTGCCGACGCGGAGGCGCGCGGGCGTTACCTGGCCGGGGGCGGCGGGGCCGGCGCAGTGCTTGCGGTAGGCGGCCAGCATGTGCGCCGCCTGCGTCACCAGCTGCTCCCTCAGCGGCTTCAGCGGCTGCCGCAGCACGGCCCTGAACGCTGCGGGACGGAGCAACAACAGGCGTTGGGAACCGCGCCGGCTGCTAGACTCGCTAAGGTCAAGGCTGTGGTGGCTTTCAATCCCTTTCAAGCATTTTATAAGATATATTCATTCATCTTTCAAATAAAAGAACACTACAATGTCCATATCATGCAAAAAAGAGCAAYCTTATGTCTGCATTAGAGTGCAAAGGGAGACAGAATCGCAGCAGGAACCAAGGCCTGTGCCTTTTTCCTACTGCACCTACACCCCTTCCTGCACTGTGTTTCTAGCTACCTCCCCAAGCACAACACTTGAGGCAGATGCGTTTACAACGTGTAACCTAATCATCTTTTTAACTTTACAATATTTTAAGACTGAGCAGTTGCTCAGGCTCTGAGTAGCAATTTGCAAAACACCTTTTCCCACTAGGTAATCATTTTGATTTCATTTTCTCCCCCTTTCTCTGCCCCAGAGAAAAAAGAAACAAAACTGATTTGCCATAACTTTACCTGACTTAGCAAAGAAGTTGATAAGTGCATCAGTCTCACAAGTCTTGTAGACATCAGCTAACTGGAAGCTACAGTTTAAGCCTAGATTGTGTATGCGAAGTCTTCTTTGCCCACTTATGGAAGTGTAAAGGACAGCACACTGCAAAAACAGAAACAAATTCCCCTTCAGTTCTATTTTAAAACAAAATGCTGATCCGCAATACTTCACCCATGCAAGAGCCATYGGTTGTATAAAAGGCCATCTGAAGAGACCCTCACTTAGCAGGGCTCAYTGGGTGCTTTGCACTGCGAGAATAGCGTGCCTGGGGTTCCTATGGAAGGTTGTTAAGACATGTAAATACATTAGAGGTATTTTAAGTGGCCTTAAAATGTGAAAAAAAAAAGTGACTAATCAAAAAGGTTATTACCTGTTTGCCACACACTAGCAGCATCATCTAAAAAGAGAGGTAGCTTGACTGACTTTGTAAAACAAAATTTTTAACTGTGTAATATTTGAGTATTACTGAAAGTAGTTGATTAGTACCAAGAGCCAACAAATGTAACTGAAAAGACATTAGCAAAATGGGAAGCTTTCTGAGACGTTCACTGTCCAGCACCCTATCTCACACCAACCAGTGCCCAGAAAAGCTTGCTAATCCTGGCCCGCCAAGTGGGACTTAGACATGAATAAGAACACACGCAGGAAGTCAGACTAGCTGTCCAGCCAAGCCTGTATGTTGCATCTACGACTGGCAAACTGGAGTCTGAAGGGTTAAGCGTTTACTTAAGACTGCAATTCTGTTTTCTTTAAACGTAATGCTGGCATCTGGGAAACTTCTTATAAGCATGAAAAAATAAAGAGGCCGAGAACAAGATTTCCTGCCTGCTAGCGTTTTGTTGGTACTGCATTAATCAGGCTGGTGCCTTTTGCTTGGTTCCTAGCACTACAGTCAAATGTGAAACCTCATCATCTTGTTAGAGCCTGCAGCGTAAACACAGAGACTCCAGATCACTGTAGTCAGCCTCACATTAGATCTTCACTAGTATCTGCCATATGAAAGAGATGTAAAGGCCTACAAGGCCTATACGTCCCCTGTCACTGCTGCACCATGGCTCTAGCAAATGACTTCAGACATAGCMAAGTAGATGCCTCACAGTACTGTAGAGCTACAAGGATCAACTGCTCAGCTATTAAAYAGAGACATGAAAAACAAAACAAAACAAAAAATCAGGCAGAGCAGAAACAAAAGTTCAGACAATTCAGAAGTTCAGGAAGATATTTCACTGCATAAAGTGCCATTGCTGGCAGTTACCTAACACTGCATAGGTCTGGAAATCATGTTCAGCCAGAGAGAGCTGCTCTYAAGCAATGAATGCCCCTGCAGTAATGCTTTCTATATAATACTTAAGAGTTTCATACTCCTGTAAATGCCAGCTTATGCTGTAAAATGGAGAAACTGCTCGCAAGAGCTCAACCAAGGATCAGAAAGCACGCTGGTACCCCCAGGAGGACACGCAGTGCAGATGGGSCTGCACAGGAGTATTCCTGCTCCCCCTGCCCTGGCTGCTCAGCTCCCTGCTGCATCCCCGAGMTGGAAGAACCTGCACGCCGAGAACAGTTGCCTGGTTCACAGTTTAGCTGCGTGCAGAATTATGTGACATATTTGGAAAGCCTTCTAGTTTACTAGTGAGATAGACTGCAATACCACTTACTGCCTGCTAGGTGCTTCTTGGTGAGGTGCAACCTTTGGTTAGCTAACTGAAACCTTATTCTGTTAGGGTGCTCCGCCACCAGAGCTTGGGCAAGCTGCCACTGGCTCCCATCAGCCCCTACATCACAACTGTTTCCTTATGGCTACAACAGTTCTGGCGCAGAATTGCATGAAATGACACATTATTAAAGTTTTATACCTGAATTAAGGCTCCGGTATCTTCATTCAGTTTGTCATCGTGCTTGAACTCCACTGTCACGGCCTTATCACAGTCGACTGCTGCCATCTCTACATCCGTGGTGTTGTTCATATAAATGTCACCAAAGAAGTCAGTAGCCCTGAAGCCTAAGCCAGATAAAAAGTAATATAGGAAGAACTTTTATTTAACAGTTACCGATCGATTCACATTTCTTCACGTCTTACTTTATTGACGTTCATTAAATTATGTTTACTGAGAGGTCCCTGTTGTAAGGGGCCCCGCTGATGGTGCTGCCCACCAGGCAGGTGGTAACAGGAAGCAGGAGGAAGAGCCAAGGAGCCCTATGAACCACGGGGCTCTGATCTGACTCGGAGACACTCAAGCTTTTGGGTCCCTGACCTGGCAACTTGTGTGTGCTTGGGTTCCTCAAATACTTAAGAATATTTACTCTTTCTTGTGTACTTATTTGAAGTAAGAATGAGCGCATAAAAAGTGGGAGCAGAATTTTAATTTCAAGTATTTMGAAAATGAGGGGACACAGAGGTTTTCATACAGCCACGGGATGCCTCATCACGATCAGAAGCCTTTCTCACATGTGAAAACTAGGCACACATAATAAGGGCATTCCCATCTGCTCTATCAGCCTACCCAATGATTTTAAGAGGTACATACTAAAAACAGGAAGCCTTATAATAAAGATAATCTCTATAACACTTCTAGTACTGCATTACTAAAATTATATAGTATATTCATGTTCAATTTCCTCCCCCAAAGGCACTATTACCTGTACTTGTTCGCACCCTCATTATTGCGTCAAATCCAGGCTTTTTTTCTATGTCCCTCCTGAGGTCACTCAGGAACCGCAGACTGTCAGTACTGAGCTAGAAAGGGAAGGCAGAAGTCGCAGTTCACCACTATGCGGCAGCAAAAGAGCAAAAACCCAACCTTTCCCCTCACAGATATCCAGGAAGGTCTTCCCACGTTTAACATTTCCTCTTCCTTTAAAGCTGGATAGAAAATGCTGATTGCTACCTCATTAACAGATATATGTATGTACAAGTATTCCCCAATTCATGAGTAAGCCTGGACATCTCAAATTCCTCTTCAATGCAGTCTCTCTCCAGTAACATCACTTACCCTGCCGGCTAGCCAGACTTCTAGGGCACAGCCATGAGAAACTCAGGACAGCCTTGGCAGAAAATGTGTTGACTGGTCAGATCAAGCACAGAGAAATTCCCTTATTCCCCATAAAATTCCCAAGTAATTTTGAACAAACACGCTAAAGTCCTTATGGCTTTTTTTGGTCTTGATCATAAGCATTTTTATCTGTAATCACAGGAGTAATTGACTTCCCTACTCAGATGCCAACTTATTCAACCAAGGTGGTTAAATAACCAAGACAGTAACCCGCTTATCTGCAAGAACAATTAACGTTTCAAGATTTCTGCTAGAGCCTGATCTGTCATTCCTAGGTCTGCATTTTACCTCCTGGGGTTTTTACATGAACTCTGTAGAGCCACTGCACTTCTATGCTAACACATGGAAGCACGCTGCACCATGAAAGGAGAAACAGCCCCCTCCAGGTGTTACTGTGTGACAGGTGAGGAGCTTGGACACTCACCTGGAAGTTGTTGTACTTGTAGAGCGTTCCCCCAGTGCACATCGTGACAAGACCCATGGAAGCTACGTCCACRTACTGATTTGGGAAGAGGAACAGATCCACACAGCAGCCATTAGCCACACAGTCTCTGGCCAAGGTCTCATAAAAATTTACCTGAGGCTGGAACAGTGTCTGCACAGAATTAAAAACCACAAATGCCATAACATTAGACAGTGTCTGTAATCACCCAAACCCAGATGCCCAATTGCAAATAATAAAAAGAGATTACAAAGTTTTAAGTGAGACGTGGCTAAGTTATAATTTATGTTGTCCTTTATACATAAAAGGATTCAACTTGACAAACAACTTGAAATTTAGAGGACAAAATCCCTAAACCTGCAGGGGAGCAAACTTCTTGGATGGAATTACGTTTGCAGCTGGGGCAGTGCAACTTTTCTTTAGCGCCCCAAGTGCCCCAGAAGAACTCATACTAACACACTTATTCACTACTGTACATCTGAAATCATCAGGCAAGGTGAGAAGGGAAATGCAGTTATACAACCAAGAACAAGAAAATAAAGAAGATAAAAGCATGATTAAAGAAATGTAGCTTAACAGCAGGCCATTGTGAACTCTGAGTAGAAAATACCTTTTCTCTCTCTGTATTGAGTAGCTTTTTGTCATCTCTGTTTCTCAGCTTCCCTGGTGCTTCCGCAGTTGGCAATGAAGAATGGAAGATAAACAGTTTTCCAGCACATTCTGCAGCCTGTTTCAAAGACACCATATTGCCATTTTATTCTTCTGCTAAGATCAACAGTTGAGCCTAATTTTCATACATTTTAAGAGTCTCCAAGTACAGTATAAACTTTCTGTGAGTCTTTTTAAGCTAAATAATTCATTTAGAGCCTGAACTCTCAATGGAAATGAAGTCTCCAAAAGAACCATGAGCTTTATGTCAGTAACTTAATCTAGCACAGATACATTGGATCATTCGTCACTGCAGTAACTTCTRCACAGGAATCTAAACTCCTAACAGGCAAAACGAGGAGTATCAAAATTTACAATTAACATTTCCTCCTGCAGCATGAAATGAAGTAAACGGCAGCTGTATTTGAATATTCCACTTCTAGTTACAACTGTAAGGAGAAACATATTTGCTAACTGAGAGGGCAAATTGCTGACAGCTGCCCTTCAATTCCGGAGAAGAGAACAGCAGCACCAGCACCACAGGCATCTCTGCATTGCTAACACTTTTCTACCAAAATGTAGAATATATTTTATTGCTCACTCTTGCTCCTGAGACACCTAATTGGAATAAAAAATGATTTGTAGTTCTGAATTCTTCAGTAACTTCAGGACTACGAATAAAAAAACCAAGAGAACAGATATTAAGTGAATTTTTAGAAAACAACTTTGAGAGTTGCTGCGTATTTTCAGTTCAACAACTACATCTACTCAAAATGTCTGCTTTACTTGTATGCAGCTCACAGAAAACTAAACTCTTAAAATCCCCCTGGCTGTTTTCTGCCCCTGCAAATCCTGTGTTGACCCAAGGTGTCATTCATTTCCTTGGCAGCCCTCCACAGAAATGTCAGCACTGCAGGGGATGTCCCTGGCGTACTGAAAGCACTGGGGATGCATCTTGACCCATGGATTCATTTTCAGCTGTATTCAAGCTGTGAAAACTTGTCAGTTAAAGGGATCGCCGTAACCCCCACTGGTTCCATGCTCATAAATATCTCCAGTTTTGCATGAAAAGTCAGCTGAAGTTGGAGGACAAGAAGGCTAAGTTGCATCTTATGCTTGTCCTATCCTTCACACGTACAAGGATGAGATGTCTGTGCAAGCAACCAGGGTGGCTAATAATTTTGCTGCAATAACTAAGAATCTCCCTCTCAAATTCTGGTCAAGAAGAGACTGACTCCTGCTCCCCATCTTCTAACCACTCTCTCCCATGTGGAATAGGCTCTAGGGAGTGGTTTTCCTTAATGAGCAAAATCTGGAAACAGATGCTGTGCTCGTCAGTGCTTTTTGACTAAAGCAGTTCAAACACACTGTGAGAATAATGGAACACAAGTGCTGGAAATGATCAGTGATTTTTGTCTTGTTTCCCACTGTGATTTGTAGATGGATCTGGCATCACCTTCAGCAAAACAGAACTTCTGCAGCATAACAAGCTGCCCTAATTAAAGAGTTGGTTGCTGTGCCGAGGAGCGTTCTGACCTTTAGCGCCTCCATGCCGGCCTGGATGACGGGAGCAAAGATGGTCTCACTCTCGTTAGTGTCGGCAAACATCTCCGGAATCTGGTCCAACAAGCTACGAAAGAGGAAAGGATCAGTGTTCAGCTGCTCAGCATACCTGGGCTAATCCTCAAAACCTGTTACACACTGAGTCTTCACACCGCAAATTGGTGTTTAAAGAAAATAATAATTTTGGTTTTCCAGTTTCTTAGGATCCCAGCCAAAATGAAACAAAATAGGAATGTGAAAGTTCCTATTGAGCTCTAACTGCAGGGCTTCCCAAGGGGCAGCGTGCAGTGGGCTCGCACCGCTGCTTCTTCACATCAGAGGTGAAAATACATGACCTGAAGTAGCTGCTTGTTCCTAAGGCATTTTGATAAGAACATCATGCACAAAGCTTCTCCCCTCCCACAGACCATAGGACACCATTTACTAAAGGCTACCATATAGCATAAGTGTTCAACTTCTACTCAGAAATGGAGCAGTTTTATCTTACTTGTTAATGACAGATCGTGATTCCTGAAAGTTGACAAGGAAACCATCCAGCAAAGGAACAAAAACTTCTCCAACATCGGAGACCACCATCATCTGAGGCTGGGCTAAGTTGCTCTTTACATTAAAAAAGTGAAGGACCTTGTTGTAAGTGACAAAACCGACTCGAATAGCCGAGTATTCTTCTTGCTCTTCCCTGCAAGAAAAACAAAGACAACAGGATATAATTTTGAAACACTGACCTTACAATAAGGTTCCTTTGAAATGTATGGCTGCTTTCAGATCATTATCCACACTGCAGTCCAGCAAACCAAACACAAGATGTAATGGCCCCAAACTCTGCCTTAGGTCTATTAGGTCTATCAAGCTCTATTTTTTTTTTTTTTAAGGAAACCAACCCAATCAGCTGCACACTCTATCCCTAAGGGTCAAGAGCCCCTAAGAAGGAATATGCTGTGCTGCTCTCACAAACACAAAAAAGGGAAAACAGGACAATTAGTTACAAGATACAATCAGAAAATCAGCTTGCTATAGCCTACATGATAATTCAACGATACTAATGACAGATGCCTAWTTATAAACGTTAGGGGAAAAGAGTCTTAATTACTTCAAAAATCACACCTTAAGAGAAACCTCCAAGCCCTCAGCAGCAAAAATGTCCCACGTCAAGTCTACGGAACCAGCCACTATCCAAGGTCAGCCTATGTTCTCCRTACTGCAGTGTTACACATTAAGGGCCCTACTTCTCTCCTGGGGACAAAGCACTGAAAGAGAGTTTGCAGCATAACGCATTTCCCTGCTTTGCAGGGAAGGAGTTTCATGTTTAAGGTACTGAAACTTGGAAATACCCATTTAATTCCCATCTATGCCTCTGATTTCATTTATAAATTGTATTTAATTTCTCTGGGCCTCAGTTACCCATTTGTACAAGGCAACAGCAGGAATTGGACAGGGTGCTGAAAACAGGACAGTTACCAGTTTGTCAAGCCTTTTACCTACCACTGAACCCAAAACTCTTGGAGACTGCAGGAAATGGAAGCACAAAAACAGCTGGGCTGACATTATTGCTTTCTTTAGCTTACAGAAGAAGTCACCTAGTGATGCTTTATGATTCTAAAAAATTTAACACAAAGAAATGAGCTAATCAGCAGACAGGATACCAGAAGGTGCAGAGACTCACGCAGGTGTTACTATCATACCAAAACATGGGTAGGATAACAGCAGTATTTCCAATAATTAGGTCATTTGGACAGAACTCCCTCACTCTAATCTCTGAAGCAGCAAGGGGATGTTAAATCATGCAGAACTCTGATAAATACAGCAAAGAAGCCAGGATCTGAAATACTTGCCCTGCTRCGGAAGGAAGAGCCTTGGTCCCAGCAAAGCCGATGACCAGGAGGCCCCTAGCCCATCCCCGCCATCCCACAGGGCGGCATCTCCCGAGTGCGCAAACGGCGGCAGGAGCAACTTCAGACCCTGGAGGGAAGCAACGCAGACAGACTCTCCGCACACTTCCTACCTCCTCTTTCCAACAGCAAATAGAAAATACTGTCACACTCCTTCATGGCTATCAGCTCTGCTTCTTTTCAGAGTAAAAAATAAATTGCTGCCGGCAGCTCACAAGTTTCATCTAAAACCTCAGGCTTAGGAGGGAAATCATTTTTCTTGTCTCTGATCTGTAACTCTCACGTCAGTCCAGAATGTTAATCCCCCATTCCTGCTTTTCGGGAACACAGCTGGATGAGATAGGGGCTACTTTGATCTAAGAAAAAGCAATATTGTGTGCTGAAATGCTCTGTTAGGGAACATTCTGAATAATTCCTCCAAGATATTCTAATGCCTAGATGGATACAGCACTTCTGAATTTAATTTCTAATCATTCCCTGCCACTCAGACGCTGCTATTTTGTTAGTAATTAATATACTAATTAACAGGGAGCATTCAGGAGCTTGATGAGGACAAGATATGACCAGCTTTCTGCACTCACAGCACTTTCTTACTTTGCAGAGAAACACACACATCCTCTTACTAGACACAGCAGGGATTTGGGCCAATTTTATCAGATCCTGCTCTTACCACCACCCTTCGTGAGATCCCGTCTCTATCACACTTTTACAGATTTGGTTATGAATATGGAAGTCAATAGCAAATGTAGCTCATATACGATTTAGTTCTTTTAAAAGAAGTCTCAAAATGAGACATTTGAATCAGCAAGAACAAAAATGTACTCAAATGTTTTTAAATTATGTATCTAAACATTGTCCTTGCTCAAACCAGTACCCTGAATTTCTGCCTTAGTATTTTAAGTAAGGAGAAAATGTATTTTCATGCTTTAAGTCTATGAAAGTACAAAAGCCCTTTCAACATGTAAGCTTGGATACTTTAATCCATTCTTTGTCAGCTTAAACTTCCCACTTCTCAGTCATTTTTACAGGGGTCCCTAGCTCAAGCCTTTACACCAATGGCCTTTTTGTTAGGCAGACTGCTTTCTTTCCCAAAACCTTTCCTCTTACAGATTTGGGCTCCTGGAAAGCCAAGCGCAGGGCAAATTCCCAGTGCAGGGCTTTCATCTCATGTGATAATAGTAAAATATTTTTCCAGGTGTCAATTTCCAGCAATAGAAAAGGAACACACAGCGAAGTTCATGCCACAGTGCCAAAATAAAAGTTCTGCTGCAAATTTGGGTCGACTGCCTTACAGAGAGTTTTATACTCCTTAAAGACAACAGACTAGTCTTTGAAGAGAATGAATGGTCTATCGTTTATTTTTTTTCTCTCCTTTTTCTTTCAGTGGACATGAAAGAACTCAGGCCTTGCAGACAAATTTGCCAGCAGCACATCTCTGCACAGTCCTGGCACGGTCAGAATTAACATGTGTCTTCTTTGTGATGGACATGCATTTGCCTTCATTTTTCCTTCCATTCCCTTATTCAAGTCTGTGTTTCTAAACTGCCAACTGCGTTTTAAGAGCACACTCATACCTTTAATCATTTTCAGAGTGATGTCCAGTCCTGAAGGAAGGCTTTGAGATATGATGAAGGCAGTATCAAGAGCTTTTGYCCCAGCTCTGCCTTCAGTAATGATGCACATGCGAGATGGCCTTACGTGGGCAGAGGGTCTCACAAACCGAGCCCCCACTCTGGGCTGGAATTTATTTCACACACTGAGATCCAACCAGGAAACCCAACAGAAGCGTTTATCCTTCTCCAGCCCAGATTAGCTCAGGATCTTGTCTCCTGCCCTTCCCTACTTTGCTCTCCATTTTAAAAACCTGTTTTCTCCCAGTAAGTACTGTTATTTTGAGCCGATTTTCTTTCTCTGGGCCATTCAGTGCTTTATATGCTTCAAATGAGAGTCATCTTGTCTACATATTTTCTCACTGTTCTCATTTAAATATGTGCCTGCATTATTTACATTTTAATAAAAGTTATAGAAAATAATACACTGTGCTAATATTAATCACTAGTAATATTAGTGCCACATGTTTAATACTCACCAAGTAAACGTGCTGTCTTTCATACAAGATTTGTTTCCTCTCTCAGACACACACCAGACAGAGAATTCTCACCAGAGCCAGGGGCTCTAAAAGCAGGCTAAGTAATGACAAGCAGCTATGGATACAAATCACTAACATTTTGGCTTTAGAGAAACTTGACATTTTGGACTATTCTGGCTCATTAAAGTGATACTTCCCGGATTGATTTCACGAGAAAAGCAGCATTGCAGTAAGCAGAACCACCACAAGGGAAGGCAAGTTACAAACCRGGATGTAGATGATAAAACTACTAGAGTTCACTACAAGAAGGAAAAAAAAAGACTGTTCTACCTGCAGTTAGAGCAACACATCCTTTCTACCCATATGGTACACCAGACAGCAGGCACAATGTGAAAATTAACAGCTGGTCACCATCACCTAAACAAATGTCTGTGTTGTAAATTTTGATGTTTTCTGGAGCCTTCTTACTATCACCTCTTAATGTACAAAGTTTCACAGAAACTGTAATGTAGCATGTTAAGAAAAGCACAATAATGTTTCTTTACCTTGGAAGTTTATCTAGCAGAGTCTTCAGCTCATCACATATAAGCTTAACAAGGCCACTGTTTATGTTTTGATATGAAACATCAATCATGAAGATATAAGCAGGTGGTTTTGGAGGCTTGTTGTTCTGCAAGGGAAAAAAAAAGAAAGATAATCACTCACAGGAAGAACTAGACAGTGCCCTGTTATGTCCAACAAATACGATTGACAGATTGTACCATCAAGGCAATCTAAAACCAGTGCTCAGTAATGCTACGTATCATAGTGATTATTGCAGTAAGATGTTCCATACTGGGTAAAGACCATTCCAGGAATAAAACATGATTACCAGAAAATAACATTCTAATGGAATAAAATGTGAAAAGAGTGACAGCTTACTGGATAAAATGGAACATTAACATTTTATGTAGGAATTCAWTTTTTTAAATAAATTTGTCTTTCTGCTCTTTTCTGTATCTCATACTGTTTTATCATTCCCTGTACACTGACATAGTTTCATTTTGTTAATATGAATATTTAATTTTCACTAGCATTTGCCCCTAACAACTGTTAAATACTAAATTAAACTGAAAAACAGAAATACAACTTAGCGGTTATACCAGATTTAAAACATCTCAGCCCTTAGCACTGCTAAGAGACGATTATCAACATCGTGGCTGGCTCATGTACCACTGTGTCGTGGACACCTGAGAAAACCGTACTTTTAAGAATAAACTATTTTTCTCTAAGATATATAAAGCACGGACTAATGTTCAGTGTACGTAGCTGCTGAATACATAGCAGTGACTTGGACTGGTATGTATTCCTTTGGGCATAACTTCTTGCTCTTAAGCTCTTACTCAGAACGCCAGTGGCACAGCAATCACACACATGTAGTACTGTGACAACAGTCTATAACTAACAAGCAGCAAGCTGTAGCTTTTCTCCCTCAGTAAAGCAAACTAACACAGACGTACCCAGGAAAAGCAAGCATAACASCAATCTTCACAGGCCTCGCTATAAGCCTAAGAACAGCTTTCCATATTTCTATTAAACAAGTAGTGGTCATTAATTGGTGTCAAATGCTGGTCAACTTGCCCTTACAGTCATATAAACTATTTCACAGCCTTCACACAAATTCTGGCCACTTGAGTTATACTTATTACAAATCAAACCCAGAAAACTAACCCTTTACTTATGACTTATCCACAGTACCCAGAACACTTTACACTAAACTTCATACTATATCCTTGGTCTCACTTCATTTGAATTAGGTAATACAAGATAAACTTGAGTGAAATAAAACCAGATGTGTTTTTTTTTTAAAGCTGTTTTCTGTATCTAGATGCAAATTTCAAAAACTATATCGAACATTATTTTCTAAACTGACATATCACACCACCTTGCTAACCACTAAGGATAAGGATTCCTTGCCTAATTTCTGACATAACATATGTAGAAAAAAGAACTGTGCTCTTCCCACGTACGCTTAGCAGGAGCACAGTAATGCAACACAGCTGTTATTTGTTAACATTTTTTGTAGCTCTTCATCCCTGTCATTTGATAAGCACAAAAGGAAATGACTTTTCAGTTTAGGTTTTAAACTAGATGAAAAAATTAAACTTTGCTAACACAGCAAAATGAAAAACAAATTACAAAATAACCAAAATAATATTGCTAACTTTTCTACCACCCATGACTTTGCACTTCCAGGGAAAGTCTCTACTTATTAACAGGTTTCATTCTCCCTCTTTTTCTTTTTTTTTTTTTTTTGGGCATTCTGCAAGTTTATACAACAGGATCTTTGCAACAGAAAGACTGCACTGGACTAATCAAATAAACTCCTTGGTTTGAGCTGTATGACAAAAGCCTCTGCACTGAAAGCTGCATTACACAGAATAGTGCTCTGGAGTAGACAACAAGGACTGTCAAAATGACACGGAGCCTTCAGCACTCTGGAGTTCGCCGAAGCTTCACCGACTTTGGTGGCCCTGCACCAGGCAAGCACTAACCCAGGGCCCCTGCTTTTACTTCTGTAATGCCTCACTACAGCTCCTTAGTTCTCTCTTGCTCTGGGGTTAACCCAAATCTCAAAGAAATTCATAAAGCGGTCTCCAGGATCCCACCGGAGTTTGAATCAGTCTCCTTGTGAGAGACCAGAACTAAACAACCTGCTCATTTCCTGTGGAAGAGCAGTAATTTGCTGGTCTGAAGTCCGTGGATGTTACTGGTATCTACTTCAAGACTTCATAGAACACAACTGTCTTAATTCTATCGCAGTCTCAATCCACTGACATTTATTGCACTGACAGGAAGAAAATTCTTGCCTGTCAGCAACAACTGAAAAAAATAAAAAAAMCCCACACTCATACTGCAGAGAGACAGTCACACTTACAACTTGCAAGCGCAGCTAAAATCTCTAAAAGTTTAAGTAATTTATACTTTGGGAAATATTAAATAAAGTTCTCTAATAAAATCAGCTACAAATACTAGCAGTGACTTGACCAGTCTTTGGACAAAGTCCTTAAGTGAGCTTACAAAAGAAGAAAGCTAACCCATTCCACTTGAACTTAATTTTTCATCAAAACACTAAAACTACTCATGTCAGGGGAAAAAAAAAAAAAAAAAAAAGAAGGTCAAATTCCCATGCTAAAGTTTCAAAGTTGGGAAGGCAATTTAGATATGCATCTGTCTTCAAAATAACAAAAGACACACAGCTAAAATTCAACATTGCGCTGGAATTTCAGCTCTATCCTCTAAACAGTGCAGCCCCTTGCGAGGACGCAAGCAATGCCCCAGCTGAACACCCCTGACCCATGGCCTTGCTGCACTGTTTGCTATTCTGGCTTGATAGTCTGATAGCAGCAGCATGAAAGAACAGCACGCAGTATTGTCAGCTTAAACTCTGTGCATCCATCTCTTTTATTAAATGTTTCTAGACTCTGCCATTCAGCTTACACGTGYGTTTGCTCTAATGCTGGTATTTAAAGGACTTCGTTTGTTTTGACATAAAATTATAATTTTGCATATTGGAAATACTCACCCGGCAATAATCCAAGGTAGCAACATATTCATAAGATCCTAGAGATAACTCAGGCCTTTCATAGTGGTCTACCCGCCGGCCAATGTGGTCCAGATGTTGAAAGAAGAATGGAGGAACTGAAAAAAACAAAATGAGAGAGTAAAAAAAAGGATTTATATTTTGGGGTGAGAAGAACCGCCCAACAATTCTTCCAATAAATACAAGGAATTAATAAAGACTCTTCCTTCGCTGATCAAAGGATGTGCGCAAATGCTTAGCAAGACTGCGATTTTTTTTAAGTTTTAGATCAATTTGATTTACGAAAAAAATCAAAACAAAACACTGTAGTAACATGCCCTCCTCTTGAATCTGAAAGACAAGYCATATTTCCCTATAAATGTTCTTCCAGTCCTACACTATTCAAAGCCTAAGTAGGTAGAAGGTACAGGTTATTTACACAGGCTGCAGTCTGCCATTCTCAGGTTATAGACTAGCAGCAGCTACTTTGTTAGGAGATACTGTCCATTCAAAATTTAATTTAGATCCCAGAAGCCTGCAGAGGAGCAGAGCTAATTATCAGACTTTTCCTGCAACCTGGGCCACATTATCCAAAATTCTGCTTTATCAGGACTAGCACTATAAGGTTTACAACCCTGCCTGCTGTACAGCAAGCCCATCAAGTCCATTATATTCGGATCTCTCTATAAGTGAAGACAAAAGATGCAGAACTCAACTCCAAAGAACCATTAAGAAATCAAGTAGCTTTGCCACCAACAATGTATATGCAGCTAGTCCAATGGCTAAAGTCAGACTGAGGAAGTCATCTCTGGATTTTATCTTCTCATTCCTTGATCGATATGGATTTAAAATACTTATTTTTTTAGGTTTTTGCTGCCTGTTAAAAAAAAACAAGTTGTGGGGGGGTACTTACCTAGTTTACAGGATATTTTTAGGCCTTATTGAGGTCTTTTTTTTAAATGCTTTCAAATTTAGATGAACGGCCCTGTATAGAGCAAGATTTAAACTGACACTTCAGTTAAAAGCTGTTACTTAAAATGCTCACAAAGCATTCAAACTTCTGTTTACAAGAGTTTAAATCACTAACAAACCACGAAATTTGTTATCTTGCACAAGCATTTGGGCCTCGGGCAGAAAAGAAGTTGGAATGAGTCTGTGAAGGTTCACATTTCAGAGCTGAGAAGATTACTGTATTAGGGAAAGCACTATACTGCTGGGATCCAGCTGAGGAAATCCAACTTGATACAAACGGCTAGAAAGGCTAGTTCTGGCAAAGCTTTGGGACTTAGCCAAAAGCACAAGAGCACTTATGAGTCACATGCAGCACACTTGAACAAATATGGCATGGTATCTTCTGTGAAAACCAACACGTGTCACTGTAAGATTAATAGGCTATTTAACCGTTGAATCTACAGTCATGGAAAGGACTATTCTGACATAGTTCTAAATATTTAGTTCTTGTTTTAACAGTTAAATTTCTTTAAAGGAGTTCATTTTTCTACACAAAAGTTGTTTTCAGTTAGCAACATACAATACAGCAACTTTGAGGCCTGTGTTGACATTGTTTTTAAATAACATTTTAATCATATCAGACTGGACTTCATGATTCAGCATTGTTATTTTTTCTTACATTTCTTTTTTAAACTTGCACTGAACAAATGTTTATAGGTATCTTCTTGGCTGGTATTTTTTCATTTTGAAATAGGCCTAGTTACTGCATCTCACTGAACTACTTTCTCTGCAGTCAGCAAGTTCACAGCAAGTCAGCAATACAGTTTCATTTTAGCTTTATGGCATTACTATGAACCATAACTCAGAGGACTCTTACCATCATTTACACAATTGCAAAATCCACACTGGTATCTTCTTCCACCTTCAATGAACTGCATGAAGGGACACATATAAGCTTTGCATCTGTTGCATCGGATTGGTCCAGTCTCCCCATGGTTTACAAGATAAAGAGGTGTCTAGATTAAAAAAAGTACACAATGTTGTAAGAAGCAATGCAAGCTTGATATCAAACAAAGCCAGGTAGAAAGCTGCTGCTCTGACTTAACTCTTATCAGATATCACCTGGAGCAAGAGATCACTGTTGACCATTTTCTGAAATTCCACAGTACAGCTGGCTCAAGCCCAGAGGTCTCATGCAGTCTGAGGAGCCAGAACATTCAGATTTGGCCCCGCAAAGATATTTTTCTCCTTCCAGCTTTATTGCAGGTCCTGAGCAGGATTAGGTGAACTGTTGCAGCCAAACGATAAAGAGAACTTGTCTAGACTGCACTAACCCTGTTTTCACTTAAACGAACAATGCATCTTGCTTAGGAAAACATGAAACAAACATCATTTGTACCTTCCAGTAGGAATGACAGGGGCTAAACTGACAGCTTCACGAGCCTATTCAGGTATTTATCACAAAATGAAACAAGGATTCACACCAAAAGCTATGATAAGAGCTCATCTAGCCTTGCAGCAGTGTCCGATAGGAGCCAGCCCAGCCTACAGAACTGTGAAGGCTCCAGAAATTCAGCGCTCTTGGCTGGCTGCTTCTCCGAAGGGCTTCTGCAACTTGCCAGGAGAGCCGCTGGCCTCAGCTTTTTTGCTCTATCAGGCTGCGCTTTCCCCAAGGAAATCTGATTGCTCATCTCTTGTACGTGCCCTTCTCAAACAAGCATTTGCTAAGACAGCATCTAATATTTTCTCCTAAATACCTCCCCTGCTAACAGTGCCATGTTATGTGCTCTACTAAGGTTGATATGTTGTCAGGGTTACCAGCTGGAGAAGATTTAGAAGCAATACTAATATTTATTGAAGGAAAGAACATAAAGCAAGCGAACAGAGCATCTCAAACACTTGTCAGTTTAATTGCATTGACCATGCTTGCTTACAGTCCCTGCCGAAACCACAGCTCACGGAGAACATTTCCCAGATGGCTCTTTCACTAATAACTGTGCAGCACTTGGAAGATTCCTGCGATTGTAATTCATCCATTTGAAAAGTCATACTTGAAACCATTATACAAATGGAAATTTGTTTGATTATCTCTGAAACTTTACTATACACAAATGTTTTCTGCATTTGTCTTTTTCACACACACCCCCCCCCCCCCCCCACTCCCCTTAATCCCAACTAAACATCTCTGAGCATCTCTGAGTAAAATATAAATCCAGTTTTGGGCCACAAGACAGATCTCYACAAGAGGAAAAATGCTGACAGTGTCTGAATGCTAAAACTTTCCCACTAGCATATTCATTTATTCTTCTTTTTATTTGCCTCTTCTTACAGAATGCACGCATTTCATTTATTATACACTTTTATCTTTTATTGGAGCATAGGAGCCTCTAAATAACTAGAAAATTGTACTTGTCCTTTTAGCATTTGTAGGTTACAGTACATTTCATTGCTTGTTTATACTTTATGGAGACACTTACTTTACTTCTTTATTTCTCCCATGGACTTAATGCTTTTACCCAGGATTTTATACATATGACTAGATTTTACTACATGGGTTTTAAAGTGCTCCCTCCTGCTCTACTGAGGTATGATTTTACTTTGTACCCTTTCTTTTCTGAGAATAATGTTTAATACAAATTAACCAGTAATGTCAGCTGGCAAACTACCAGGGTCACTTCTCAGATAGGACAGCCCAGGCTATAAAACCTGTTCACCAGCCTTGATCATTTAATAGGTTTTAAAACTGCTGGGTTTTGCTCATTACTTGGTAATTTTCTGCTTATCGTTCTTTTGTATTAGTTTAATGAGGCCTGGATCTTGTTTGGAGGCAATATCATCACATCATCTGATCTGGTACAGAAAAAACAAAGTCTATTCCTGATGTTCTTATATGCACCGTCTTAGTAATTTTAAATACAAATTTGAAACATTTAGCTTCATCCAAGAAGAATTTTACTATGCATTTAAAAAATAAATTTTTGGAAATAGTAGAAAGAAAAATATATTTTTTTCTGCTCTTTTCATATTTGGAGTGGAATATTTATTTTCCCTCTCTAAGCTTTTTAAAAACAAACCAAAGCAGTCAAGGGGACGGTTCCTTTTGAATATGCAGGTTTAGACCCCCAATAGCCTAAAGCTGCTGTCTGCAAATATTTATGTACATGTTTACCTCTGTGTATCAAATGGTTGTCTTCAAGTCACTCAGCACTCTGTACAGTGCACGAAGTTAAATCACGTGCTCAAGGCTTAAAAGAGCAGTTCCCACAGGCAGTGTTCTCTAAACTTTTACTAGGTTGGATTCTGCATTGTCTAACCCAGAGAAATAAAGGATGAAATACCAATGAAATCAAATGACTGAAGCAGGCTGTTTTGATTCCTAATAAACTTGTAAAACCTTCAAAGGAAAACGCATCCAAAAAGCATACGGAATAGCATTTCCATCTGTATGGGAATTTAAAAAATGAAATAACACACATGCATTAAAAAAGTGAATAAAGTGTCACCATGCAAAGCCAAAAGCAATGCTGCTAAATGAGAAAGTCTTTTGTTTCATGTGCTCTGCTCTCTGTAGATGTCACTGTATACCAGAGGATAGAGAAACATTTGCTTATGCTCCCCTTAGTAGTCAGCGGCAAACTCTCAGAGAAGTGGTGGAATAGGAAAAGAAAAATCCAAAAAATCTTAGAGGTTCTATTTTTCCTGAAAACCAGTGCAATATTCTTTTACTTTTTTCTGTCTATTAAATTATGAGCGTTCTTTCATATCCTCCTTGAAATCTCTACTAATGAAAATTGATTCAAGTTAGATATCTATTAAAGTTACTTGGATATTAGCTATACTTTTATGTTAGGTCCTTATACCTCTCTTCATTCTTATCTTTCCACAATCCTTTTCTATTTGGATGAGCCAAAAAAGGAGAGAGAGACAATCTCACAAAATTGTACTCTTAGATATTGTTTGGTGATCCTCTGGCACTGCCAAAATATAAACGCTTGTCAAAAACAATGATTAAAATAAACACGATAGCAAAAATCTGAGGTGGACTGGACATATGTAAGGGGTGCCTATTACACCAACTGGAAAAATCAGTTGTGCTTGGAGGCAGGACATCGTGGTCTTTCAGGAAAGCAAAGGGGGATTGGGCAGGAGATGGGAAATGTTCTGACACATCTGCATAAACTTTCTCTTCTCTRGAAGCTCGAGGTCTCACTGGAGTACAAGTACTGAAAGCCGATCCTATAAACCATAACTTATCTCATTATTAGTCCAAATATAGCTAGGAACCCAAGAGCTTTATTTTGTACATATTTCAGCAAGAACATCTTTTAGGAGTCAGGGAAATATCAAAAAGCAATTGTTAGACATGGGTGGCACAGCTCCAAAATGAAACACTTCCATATCATTTACCAAAAGGACAGTAACCTACACTTCAATGTCTCAGAAAGCTGAATCACTAAATGTGCTATTAAAAGATCCAACCCACGCCGGCGAGTTCCCTGCGAGTTGAGCAAAGTATCACTTTATTCACACTGCAGGATCAGGGCAACAGCTGGAAACTATTAAGTGTAGAAGAAAGGCTGTGATAAAGCTCTAGATCATCATGGCACAGCTCAGGAAAGGTACTGTAAAGAGAGATCCGAGAAGAGAAAGAGCCTCTGTCTAGAGAAAGAGACATACACAAACATGGAAGAAAACGAGCCATTTATCATGCAGCAAAGCAGTAAAGCCAGCATGCTATCTGTTTGCATTGCCGGTTTGCATATATAGACAAGGCTGCAGAGATGTACTTTATATCTGCACTGCAGGCTGGTGCTCCGCGTGGGCTCTCCAGGCACGTGCCTTTCCCTGCGTACCTCGGCCAAGGCAGATTCCTAGCTGCTTCTCACCACACGCCCTAGCAGTGCAGCAGCGGCTCAGCAGTAGGGACCGTATTTTTGCCCTTAGTTTTACTCCATCGCTGCTCAGGTGCCTTTAAACGACAGGAGCGCTCTCACATCGAAATGCGGCCCCCAGAGCCCGCCAAGCCCCGCTGTGTCCCAGGGGAACGGGCTTCCCACGAGCACTGGCTTCAAGAAGACCAGCGCCTGTCCCTCACACCCCTTCTGTCCCCTCCAAGTGGGACAGTTTGCCACCAGTTCCCCTCTGTCTTTTTGAGGTTTGGTACCATATAAAGTCACCCAGGGATGCTCCACACAATGTAATGTTGCACACTGCACATGACAAGCTGCTGGCAGATATCAGGAGACAAACGATCATGGCAACATATTCAAACAAACACCCAGATTGAGAGGATCCAAGATTTTAAGATGTTACCTAGCAGCCATTTTCAGATGCTGGCTTTTTGTTTCCAAAGGAGATTAAATCTCACAGGTTTGGGAAGCTGTAAAGAGACCCGTCTTTTGATGATTTCAGGTATGACAGTTGCTTAAAATTATACTCAGCAATACAGGAGCAAATAAAACATTCTGTAATTCCGATGTATAGTAAACCTTAAACATTGTACTTGTACCTCTGCGTATCAGAAAAATAGACACAAAACTACCAGCTTTTCAATCCAAACAGCAACTCCCAGCTCAATCAGTAGCATTTCTAGAGCTTTTAACAACTCTCATGCAAGTTTCTTTATTAAAACAGAGAATAGAAAATTTTAAGATAAACTATACACTTTCAGATGAACAGAGGAAAATAGCTGTTTGAGTGTAGTACCACTGCCTCATCCAAATCTTACATTTAACTATTGCAGTAACTAGAGGAGGAAAAAAATTGTCAGGATAATCAGAGGAGACTGAAATGTAAGATTTATGGGTTTGGGATTCATGATACAGGGTTTTGTTCCCCTCCACGCAACAGTCTTTCTCCTAGTACTAATGGTGATCTTTTTCTTCTCTACTCTCCTACACATTGTATGCTCCTCTTTTCTCCTCTAACTACATCATGATATGCTTTTGGGAAAGATTAACCAGTCAACAAATAATCCGTGGGTTTTGAGTTGCTTTACTAATTTGCATTAAAATGT